TCACCTCATTTTTCTGTGCCTCCATTTTCCCATCTGTCAAAGGAGGGTAATGATACGTACCACCCTCATAAAATATTCACGGGAAAAGGCCTACCTCCTGTAACAACTCTGATCCTGCCCAGATGATTCGCAGTCGAGCTTTGCCCTTTAAAATATCCCCAGCAGGTCTGTTAATACCCCAATGATAGGGCAGTTTGCACCTTTGAGATCAGCTTCAGGCTTCCTGCAGGCTCAGGAAAACATCACTGCAAGGGTTTCTGTTCCTTTCACCTTTGGTAAGTTAGTTTTGTAACCATAAGTGTGGAGAGACTCAATTTTTTTCTTTCTAAATTTAAGGTTGATTCAGGTTTATTTTTTTAACTGAGAGCCTGGAACCCAACTGTGCAGTAAATTCAAGAAGAACAATTCTGCTGCAGTTCACACAGCCTCATAATCACATTATAGATGGAATATGGCCCAAGACTGACCCGATCCATTGGAAACAGGTCATCAGCAACCCAATAGAGGGTGATAAAGTTAGTCACCACTAAATCCTTGGCTGGGGTAAGATTTGAGCCAGTGTCTAGAGATGAGCTCTGTGATACATGAAGGGAGGGGGTAGCTCCATTTTATGGACACCCACCTGTTGGATCATATTAAAGAAGTTCTGTATTAAAATCACAAATGAGTTTGATTCCCCAGAGTTTAAATTCCAGGGTATTACTAATTAAGAGGTCTCTTGGTTTTTGGTACTGTTTCTCTCCCTCTATGTATGAAACTTGCAAGCTGCTAATTGTGTTAGTACATTCTAAGACAGAGTCTGTTCTCAAAGCAATTCACAGAGAGAGAGACTCAAAGCAATACTCTAACAACAGAAACAACACCCAGAGACTCCCCACCCTTTTGTTGTATTAACAATTGTGATTAAAATAGAGATAGAAGATGTATGTGGATGGATGCTTGGTGTGGATAATAACTGAATGATCAGGGAGGTGCCAGCCTAAGAATCCAGTGTCCATCGGCTGAAGAAGGCGTCAAGTGGAAATAACCAGAGGACCCCCCGGAGGGCAGACTGGAATCCACCCAACAGCCTCAAGAATGGGAGAACCAAAGAACAAGATAACATCTTGGAGCCGTCAGGAATGTGCTATCTGCTGATTGATTCAGCAACAGCATGATGAAGCAATTCCCATAGACTGGCATAGGAAGAAATTCCTATAAAAATAGACTCTAAAAAGTGAGAACTTTGGGGGGTCTGATTCTGCAAACCAACTTCCAGGAGCATCAGATGAGCATCTGACAAGGCCCTGCTCCCTCCTCATGTCCAGGCCACCTGGCCAGTGGCTTGGCATGAGCAACTCTAAGGCTGGTAACTATGATAACAACCTTGCAGAACCTGTGTGTGTGTGTGTTTGTATGAATGAATGTGTGAATAAATATGAGATTGAATGGAATGTTATAACTAGAACTAACTGCTTACTATGATTCTTTCTGTATTCACAATAAATGTGGTATTTTGCCTTTTTCCCTTTAATAAGATCCTGCTGGTTTTTATTTTATTGGTACAACACACCCAGCCAGTTAGCTATAAAATCCCTGTTAGTAGCTGTTCTCTACTTGCTTTACCTGTAAAGAGTTAACAAGCCCACAGGTAAAAGGAAGGGAGTGGGCACCTGACCAAAAGAGCCAATGAGAGGGTTAGAACTTTTTAAAATTGGGAAAAAACTTTCCTTTATCTGTGTGTTGTAGTTCTTGAGGAAAGAGGGGAACAGGGAACAGTTATGCTGTGAGCCAGGTATGAAAAACCATTAGATCATACCTAAAGATTGCTTATCTGAAACCCCAGAAATGTAAGTAAATTAGGAAATGTCTAGGAAGATGTGATTATGGTTATTTCTGTTTATTTCTTATTGGCTTGTGGACTCTTCTGTGCTAACCCCAAATGCTTTTTGTTTTGCTTGTAACCTTTAAGCTGGACCTCAAGAAGGTTATTCTCGATGTTTTAATTTTGTAAGTGGGTTTTTTACATCTAGCAAAAGCCTAAGTTCCAGATGTATTTCCTTTCTCTTTGTTTTTAATAAAATTTATTTTTTTAAGAACATAAGAATGGCCCTACTAGGTCAAATCAAAGGTCCATCTAGCCCAGTATTCTGTCTTCCGACAGTGGCCAGTGCCAGGTGCCCCAGAGGGAATGTACAGAACAGGTAATCATCAAGTGATCCATCCCCTGTCACTCATTCCCAGCTTCTGGCAAACGGAGACTAGGAACACCATTCCTGCCCATCCTGGCTAATAGCCGTTGATGGACCTAAGAACCTAAGAACAGTATTAGATTTTTGTTGTCCTAAGAGGTTTGTGCATATGTTGTTTAATTAGCTGGTGGCAACAGCTGATTTCCTTTGTTCTTTTTTCTTAGCTCTTCCGCAGAGATGGGGTGAAAGGGCTTGAGGGTACCCCACAGGAAGGAATACCCAAGTGCACCTTTCTAGTTTCAAAGGGGTTTTCTGCACTTGGGTGGTGGCAGCATCTACCCATCCAAGGTCAGAGAGAAGCTGTAACCTTGGGAGTTTAATACAAGCCTGGAGTGGCCAGTATTAATTTTTAAAATCCTTGTGGGCCCCCACCTTCTGCACTTGAAGTGCCAGAGTGGGGAATCAGCTTTGACAAGCTGTTATAGAATGTCCTTTGTAGGGATCCATACTCACAAACCCTTTGTGATGAGTGACCTCATATTCCTATGACATCATGGTAACTATCAGCAACCAGCTCAGTCTGTTTCTGTTCCTGAGACAGGAAGCACCACCTCTACAGGACTCTTGGAGTGGGCAGAGATAGGACAACCTTTTTTAAAAAACCACACACTTAGAAAAAACGTGCTACGAAACCCCCAACTTGTTTGGTTTGGTTTCATATGCCCATCTGTCTTGCAGGGCTCTGGTGGGAATTGCCAAGGGCAGGTGGAAAGGGCTATGGAAACCATCTCCCCACATGTGAGCGTCTCACTAATCAAATCTCTCTCATCCCTGCTGGTAAGTGAATTCTTCCCTATTCAAGTGGACTTCCATCCCAGACCATAAATCCACAGCCCAGGAAGATCAATGGAAAGATTCCCTTTGACCTCAGTGGCAGTTGGAGCAAGCCCCAGAAAACCAGCCACGGTGCCTGTGATGGTATTGACCTGAACTGGGACCATATAGAACACTGTTGCAACCAAGGCCCTGTGGTGGCACCAAATCTTGTATAAAGGGGGTCAAATAAGGTGTCCAAGACAAGGTTGTGGTTTGCTGGTTATGATTATGCTATCTGTATGCATGTATCATTTTTGTATTTAAAGATATAAGTATTGGCTCTATCCTGTCTGTATTTCAAACTTGTGCTGTGCTTCTGGGGGACACCCCAGACAAGTGGGTGTCAGCTCTGCCTAGCCTGCTTGATGGCCCATTAAGGACCATCAGCTATACAACTGACCCATGGAGAGAAGGCAGATACACCTTGTGACTCAGCAAAGTATGCAGGGACTTGCCCATGTGACTCCAAACTCCATTTTGCTGTAATTTTGCATAGTAAGCACAAAGAGGGTTCTTACACCTGGAAAAGACTGTGAAAGGCTGATGCCTCATCTCCATCTTGTCTTCAATCCTGCTTCATACCTCTGGACAAACTTTGCTACACTGAAGCTTTGAACCAAGGACTGAAAGATCCATCCCAGCTGTGGATGTACTCCAGAGACTTGATTTGAACCTGCAGTTTATTCCATCACTGCTGGAAGCCTGAACCAAGAACTTTGCCATTGCTGTATGTAATTGATTCCACTTAACCAGTTCTAGCTCTCATCTATATCTTCTTCCTTTTATGAATAAACCTTGAGATTTTTGATTCTAAAGAATTGGCAACAGCCTGATTTGTAGGTAAGATCTGATTTGTATATTGACTTGGGTCTAGGGCTTGGTCCTTTGGGATCGAGAGAACCTTTTTTCTTTTACTGGGGTATTGGTTTTCATAACCATTCATGCCCATAACGATTGGCACTGGTGGAGATACTGGGAAACTGAAGCGTCTAAGGGAATTGCTTGTGTGACTTGTGGTTAGCCAGTGAGGTGAGACCAAAGTCTGCTCTGTTTGGCTGGTTTGGTTTGCCTTAGAGGTGGAAAAACCCCTGCCTTGGGCTGTAACTGCCCTGCTTGAAGCAATTTGTCCTGAACTGGCACTCTCAGTTAGCTCCCTCCAGAACCAGCATCGTTACAGTGCCTCTAATAATGGTAGTTTAACAAAGACATATAAAGGCAAGGGGCTTCCTCCAGAGCAATGTTTGTCTCACCCTAAGACAAACAACTGCTTGCTTTGCTCTCGACTTCCTGTATCATCAAGACATTTGGACTCTCTATGCGTCAGTTTCCTGTCTTGAAAATAGAGATCACAAAGCTATTATAAGGGGGACCATGGAAGAATTGAGATAGAGAATATTAGTGATGAAAATACATTCTATATGGAACCCCTTACCTCTTGATCTCAAAACATGAGTTTAAGGCTAACACACTGGGGATTGAACCAGAACTAAAAGCATAAACGACTACAGCTGGAGCTAAAGCTATGTAGCTGGGGGCTGTAACAGACTCTCATCCTGAAGGCAGTCAGAAGACTTTATAAATTCTTGATGAGACAAGCTTTACAGTCACTTTACCTGCTACTAAAGTGCAGCCACATCTGGGGTGAAACATAGCAGCTGTTTAACAGCACAGAGCAACAGTACGTAACAATTTAGGCCAGGACATGAAGGATAATAACTTTCTAGCTGAAGTACACAGGGAATGAGGTAAGCACAGTGAAATCGCCTAAGGGGGAATTTGGCCAGGATGCTGGGCACCAATTCTGGAATTTTCCCTGAGTTTTTAACATCCACAGCAGGAGGGACCTGGAGTTGATATCTCCCTGGCTTTCAGAGATTTTTAACGCCAAATGAGACCCGTGTGCTCACCTAATTCTTGATTTGAGTTAATTCTGAGCTCTCTTTCTATCTCCAGGGGATGAAGAAGGTGCCTATCGACAAGGTCGAGTGGGAAGGGTATTTTGATGAGAGCGGCCACCTGGTGAAATCTCGGGATTTTATTTCATCCAACATCCTGGACAGGGTGAGCAGGGTCTGCTCTGAAATGCGACAGTCAGCAGGGAGGACTATGCACGGTGGGCCTTGTGTGCCCCAGGGTCTCCGGCTGCAGCAAAGAAACACTCAGGCTGGGCACAAAGGTGGGGTCAAAACTCCTGTATCCTCCCATAGTCTGGAGGCCATACTGGTGCCAGGCTGGACCCTTCCACCAGTGTAAGAGAGAGCAGTTGGCTGCCAATGCAATGCCCCTTCCACTTACCTTTCCCCCAGGCCACAGCCTCTGCAGCTGGTGCAGGAAGGATCATGTAGGAGCAGCTACACTAGCTCTTTGCCAGCCATGCTTCTCCCTAGGCAAGGAGCATCCTCCAGGGGGAAGCATGAACCTTCTCCTTCACAAGGAAGGATCTGGTGTTATTTCAGCATTGCCAAACTCCATAAAGGGACTAAGGCTCATTTCAGGACAGCTTATCCACCTGAAGGGTTGGTGACCTCCACTGGCCATCAGACCTTAGAGGTACCACATGCTGAGGTTGCTATGACGATTTGGAAGCCAAGCATTTTTTAAAAGAAATACATTGATTCTTTCAAGTTTGTGCATCACTGGACAAAAAAATCACTGTGAAAAATATTAATTTCCCAGTAAAGCACAGGAATTCCTGGCCCACTCCAATACAGCCATTATGCTTACTTGGCTTTTGCATTTTGGAGTTTGTTTACAAATGACTCACTTTTGCCCAGTGAGAAAGAGCGTATTTTATTATAAAATAACCTGGTTTTTTTTAAACCTCTAAAAATAGCTTTTAATTTTCATGAAAGCAGTCATGGAAATCTGAGCTGACTCCAGGCAACCTGGCACCTTTTCAGAGAACTGTGACAATGTCCTAGTTCCCTTTTGGCTTTGCCAGTAATGAGAAATCTTAGTGCTCAGCCTTAAATGCAGGTAGTTAGCTCTTGTGCTGGCTCCTGCAGACACTATCCTCCCTTGCATGACTCCACTGACCTCAGTTAACTTGCACAAAATCTGATGTCTGCATATTTTGTATTTTGTTCTCCTTGTGCCTGTGCGCAAGATCTCACATTGGGACTCAAAAATCGCCATTGCAGTGCTCTGAGCTTCTGGCTATGCTGTGCCCAGAGAAGGTTATGGCTAAAGTCTGTCAATTCATCACAGTTAACTCACGCAATTAACTCAAAAAACTTAATTGTGATTAAAAAAAATTAATCACAATTAATTCCACTGTTAAAAAAATAAAATACCAATTGAAATTTATTAAATATTTTGGATGTTTTTCTACATTTTCAAATATATTGATTTCTATTACAACACAGAATACAAAGTGTACACTCCTCACTTTATATTATTATTTTTATTACAAATATTTGTACTGTAAAAATGATAAACAAAAGAAATAGTATTTTTAAATTCACCTCACACCAGTACTGTAGTGCGATTTCTTTATCATGAAAGTGTAACTTACAAATGTAGATTTTTTTTGTTACATAACTGCACTCAAAAACAAAACAATATAAAACTTCAGAGCCTAGTCCTACTCAGTCCTACTTCTTTTTCAGCGAGTCACTAAGACAAACAAGTTTGCTTACATTTACGCGAGATACTGCTGCCTGCTTCTTATTTACAATGTCACCTGAAAGTGAAAACAGGTGTTCACCTGGCATTTTTGAAGCCAGTGTTGCAAGGTATTTACATGCCAGATATGCTAAATATTCATATGCCCCTTCATGCCACCATTCCAGAGGACATGATTCCATGCTAATGATGCTCATTAAAAAAATAATGCTTTACTTAAATTTGTGACTTAACTCCTTGGGGAATAATTGTGTGTCTCCTATTCTGTTTTATCTGCATTCTGCCATATATTTCATGTAAAAGTAATCTCGGATGATGACCCAGCATACATTCGTTTTAAGAACACTTTCACAGCAGATTTGCCAAAATGCAAAGAAGGTACCAATGTGAGATTTCTAAAAATAACTACAACACTCAACCCAAGGTTTAAGAATCTGAAGTGCTGTCCAAAATCTGAGAGGGATGAGGGGTGAGCATGCTTTCAGAAGAGTTAAAAGAGCAACACTCCGATGCAGAAACTACAGAACCCGAATCACCAAAAATGAAAATCAACCTTCAGCTGGTGGCATCTGACTCAGATGATGAAAATTAACATGCATCAATCCACTTTGCTTTGGATCATTATCAAGCAGAACCTGTCATCAGCATGGACGCATGTCCTCTGGAATGGTGGTTAAAGCATGAAGGGATATATGAATCTTTAGTGCATCTGGCAAATATCTTGCAATGCCAGCTACAACAGTGCCATGTGAATGCCTGTTCTCACTTTCAGGTGACATTGTAAACAAAAAGCGGGCAGCATTATCTCCTGCAAATTGTAACAAAACTTGTTTGTCTGAGTGATTGGCTAAAGTAGGACTGAGTGTACGCGGAGGCTGTAAAGTTTTACATTGTTTTATTTTTGAATGCAGTTATTTTTTGTACATAATTCTACATTTTTAAGTTCAACTTTCAAGATAAAGAGATTGCACTACAGTACTTGTATTAAGTGAATTGTATTTCTTTTATTTTTACAGTGTAAATATTTGTAACAAAAATAAATATAAAGTGAGCACTGTACACTTTGCATTATGTGTTGTAACTGAAATCAATATATTTGAAAATGTAGAAAAACATCCAAAAGTATTTAAATAAATGGTATTCTATTATTGTTTAACAGTGCAATTAATTGTGCAATTAATCACGATTAACTTTTTTTAATTGCTTGACAGCCCTAGTTATGGCTAGAGCCATTTGGAAAATGCCAATTATTTGTCATGGGAAATTTTAAAAAGGATTTGTTTTGAAATTTCCTGTGAAAATGTTTCAGTTTTGTTGATGAAAGAACTGAGAGTAAAAACCAAGAAACTTTTGAGTTTTACACCACCATTTTCAGTAAGAATGATCAGTGACAACTTACCCAAGATTTTTGCTTGTATACCAAAGCTGTTTACCCCATCCCCCCTTCCCCCCTTAACTGCCCTTTGTGCCAATAAAAGCCCCCTGTATTCACCTTGCCATCCCTTTCAGGGTCTGGATCCAGCAGTGAGATCAGAGGCATGGAAGTTTCTCACTGGCTACTACTCCTGGAGGAGTTCACATGACGAGAGGCTGACCGTTGACAGCATGAGGAGGTATGGATCTGTCTGTTTGCAGTGTCCTTCTATATCGGGCTCCACAAGGACGCAGATGCAGCTGGTAGTTTCACAGGCATCCCTGAAGATTTGATGATGATGATGCAGATTATGGTAGAATCTGTGAACCCTAAACAAAGATCAAGGCCCCACTATGCTGGGAGCTCTGCAGACAGGAAGCAAAGAAGAGAGCTCACAGTCCACATGTCAGACAGGGCACCACAGGGAGAGAAGACAGACACTCCAGGGTGAATGGGTTAGGAGAAAGATATCATATAGTTGAGCAGAAACCCATCTGTCCCAGCTTGCCACTTGCCAACCCAGTGTATCCTGATGAAGGCTAAGCATCATGGTGGGTTCCATGGAGGGATTTAACAGGGTAAGGTGGTGGCTTTGCAGATATTGATGGGCCACAGTTACGTGAGCGTTGAATGCGGTAGAACAGATTTAATTAAAACAGGTTCTTAATCTGGTGACTGCATTCTCTCTGTGCATGGGCCCCCTGGAGATGAAACTCAGGACCCTTATTGTCCACAGGTACCAGCCCCAAGGGTGTGATCCCACAGCAACTGTGCTGAGCTTCTCTTTTGGTTTCTTCCCTTCCAGCCTCAGGTCTGCCCTCTATTCGGCACTGGTAAGGCCTCATCTGGAGTACTGTGTCCAGTTTTGGGCCCCACACTACAAGAAGGATGTGGAAAAACTGGAAAGAGTCCAGCGGAGGACAACAAAAATGATTAGGGGGCTGGAGCACATGACTTATGAGGAGAAGCTGAGGGAACTGGGATTATTTAGTCTGTAGAAGAGAAGAATGAGGGGGGATTTTATAGCTGCTTTCAACTGCCTGAAAGAGGATTCCAAAGAGGATGAATCTAGACTGTTCTCAGTGGTAGCAGATGATAGAACAAGGAGTAATGGTCTCAAGTTGCAGTGGGGGGAAGTTTAGGTTGGATATTAGGAAAAACTTTTTCACTAGGAGGGTGGTGAAACACTGGAATGCGTTACCTAGGGTGATGGTGGAATCTCCTTCCTTAGAGGTTTTTAAGGTCAGGCTTGACAAAGCCCTGGCTGGGATGATTTAGTTGGGGATTAGGTCCTGCTTTGAGCAGGGGGTTGGACTTGATGACCTCCTGAGATGCCTTCCAATCTTGATATTCTATATTCTAAGAAGGTGGGGAGGGGCTAGAGGCTTGGCTTCCTATGGTAACCCAGCTTCAGGTCTAACACCCCTGAATGCTGCAGTTACCTTCAGAATTTCTATTTTGCAACATTTTCTTGAGCCTTCCCTTTTCCCTGTCAAACTGTAACTGCTACATGGAGAACCCTGGCCTTCCACCCAGGTTGTTAGGGTGCACGCCAGAGCACCTAGGAACTTCACAGTGACGGCTGACAGAGAGTCCAGCAGCCACTTTATCATTAGTGTAATAGTAAATATTTATATAGTGCTATCACCCCTTTCTGCTGGGTGCTGTATGAATGTAGATAAGAGACTATTCCTGACCTGCAGTCTACAATCTAAAAGACTGACTTTCAGCACACTATGCTGCTAGATACCAGCTGAGCATAAGGCCCCAGATCTTCCTGCTCCTAAAGCACAGCCTTTTATCTCTTGAGCTAATGGAGAAACTCTACCAGTTGTTAGCAGTATAGGGCTTAGGACGTGTAAACTGTGCACTCTGTCCCCCGCTTGTGGTGTCTAGGTCAGCTGGTGATTGATGAGTCTGCCACAGTAGTGTCTAGAAGAGACAGCTCTTTTAGCTCAGGATGTAGGGCTCATATATTAAGATCCACAGGTCCCACGTTCAATCAATACATTTTGGGATGTATAAGTAGGGGCATTGCCAGCAGATCGAGGGATGTGATCGTTCCCCTCTATTCGACATCGGTGAGGCCTCATCTGGAGTACTGTGTCCAGTTTTGGGCCCCACACCACAAGAAGGATGTGGAAAAATTGGAAAATGTCCAGTGGAGGGCAACAAAAATGATTAGGGGTCTGGAACACATGACTTATGAGGAGAGGCTGAGGGAACTGGGATTGTTTAGTCTGCAGAAGAGAAGATGAGGGGGGATTTGATAGCTGCTTTCAACTACCTGAAAGGGGGTTCCAAAGAGGATGGATCTAGACTGTTCTCAGTGGTAGGAGATGACAGAACGAGGAGTAATGGTCTCAAGTTGCAGTGGGGAAGGTTTAGGTTGGATATTAGAAAAACTTTTTCACTAGGAGGGTGGTGAAACACTGGAATGCATTACCTAGGGAGGTGGTGGAATCTCCTTCCTTAGATATTTTTAAGGTCAGGCTTGACAAAGCCCTGGCTGGGATGATTTAATTGGGGATTGGTCCTGCTTTGAGCAGGGGGTTGGACTAGATGACCTCCTGAGGTCCCTTCCAACACTGATATTCTATGATTCTATGATATTCTATGAATCTCCACTGCCAATGACCTACACAATGCTGTCAGCATTACCAATATGAAGTTGGACATTACCAATATGAGGTTTGCAGAGGGTAGAGGTGCACACGCACATGCCAGTTTGTTGCAATATTAGCTAGACAACCAAAATTAAAATCTTGGTAAAATTGCTCATTTTTGGCAACCTAGTTGCAAAACTGGTGACAATTTCTAAATAAAACAGATCAACTGCTCTTTCCTACCCCTCTGATTTCCTCCATTTACTGTGAATCTTCATTTACAAGGTTCTGATGGTGCAAAACTCTTAACAAAGCCCTTATGAGTTATGCTCCATTCTTGCAGCATGTTCTCAATAGCTACCTCCCGTATTCTTTCAGGAAAAGTTACGAGGCCTTGTGCAACATGTATGACAAGATCCAGCCGTTACTAGAGACAGAGCACAGGGACTTCATGCAGGTCCGCAGCTTCATCAGTAAGTTGTCACAGGGTTGAGCCGGGTGTTTCTAGGGGTAAAGAAGCAGGGGAGGCAGCAGATAGATGAGTCAATGTGATTTGCCAGGTCGCTAGCCCCTTGTCACATGGATCTCCCTAAGCTCCAGTGATCTTCACTGGAGATTCTGACTCAAAAGTACTGTGATGTGTTTGCCTTTCAGAAGCTTAAGGACACCTGTAGTTTGATTTCATTCTTCTACCTGAGCACAAGCCTTACTCAGGAGAGGTCAGCTTAGCTTGGAGCGTGATCATTTTCCATCTTGTCAGTTAAGCAGTATTGGACATAACTTTATCTGGAGGCAGACCTCCAGGTGCAGCCAGGAATATTATTGTTATGATGCAAAGAAAAGGAGTACTTGTGGCACCTTAGAGACTAACAAATTTATTTGAGCATAAGCTTTCGTGAGCTACAGCTCACTTCATCAGATGCATTCAGTTGAAAATACAGTGGGGAGATTTATATACATAGAGAACATGAGACAATGGGTGTTACCATACACACTGTAACCAGAGTGATCACTTAAGGTGAGCTATTACCAGCAGGAGTGCGGGGGGAACCTTTTGTAGTGATAATCAAGGTGGGCCATTTCTAGCAGGTGACAAGAACGTCTGAGGAACGGGGAGGGGGGGAGGGGATAAATATGGGGAAATAGTTTTACTTTGTGTAATGACCCATCCACTCCCAGTCTCTATTCAAGCCTAAGTTAATTGTATCCAGTTTGCAAATTAATTCCAATTCAGCAGTCTTTCGTTGGAGTCTGTTTTCAAAGTGTTTTTGTTGAAGTACTGCCACTTTTAGGTCTGTAATGGAGTGACCAGAGAGATTGAAGTGTTCTCCAACTGGTTTTTGAATGTTATAATTAACTCCCCTTACAGTTAGAAAGGTTTTCCTAATATCTAATATCTAACCTAAATCTTCCTTGCTGCAGATTAAGCCCACTGCTTCTTGTCCTACCTTCAGTGGACACGGAGAACAATTGATCCCCATCCTCTTTACAACAGCCCTTAACATCTTTACACACTGTTATTAGGTCCTCCTCAGCCTTCTTTTCTCAAGACTAAACATGACCAAGGTTTTTTTTACCTTTCCTCAGAGGTCAGGTTTTCAAAACCTTTTATCATTTTTGTTGCTCTCCTATGGACTCTGGCCAGTTTATTCCCATCTTTCCTAAAGTGTGGTGAGCTGAGGCTTCACCAGTGCTGAGCAGATCGGGACAGTTACCTCCCGTGTCTTATATACAACGCTCCTGTTATTACACCCCAGAATGATATGAGCCTTTTTCGCAAGTGCATCACACTATTGAATCACATTCAATTTGTGATCCACTATAACCCCCAGACCCTCTTCAGCAGTACTACCACCTAGACAATTATTCCCCATTGTATAGTTATGCATTTGATTTTTCCTTCCTAAGTGAAGTAGTTTGCACTTGTCTTTATTGAATTTCACCTTGTTGATTTCAGACCAATAATCTAATTTGTCAAGGTAGTTTTGAATTCTAATCCTTCCTCCATGGTGCTTACAACCTCTCCCAGCTTTGCACCATCTGCAGATTTTGTAAGATATTTTCCACTCCATTATCCAAGTCATTAATGAACATATTGAATAGTACCAAACCCAGGACTGTGGGATTCCACTAGATATGCCCTCCCAATTCAACAGCAAACCATTGATAACTGTCATGCAGCCAGCAGAATATGTTTTTATCACCTTGACTCCAACCGAGTATAAAAGAAATCACATTTTGCCTCTATGTAAACAGATATGCACTTAAATAGTAGATACCAACAATTGTTTCCTCCAAGTTCAGTCGTGGTTCCAGCGCAGCTCCCTTGTTCAGCTTGGCTTAGAGAATGTTGTGTTTCCCAACATTCCAAGGTCCTACTTTGCCACTCCCCCTGGGCCGCTTGCACCCAATCAGAAAGACGCACAGCCAGTAATTCTGGATGCAAAACACTGATTTAAAGTAACACACATTACCTGCCATTTGGTGAGTTATTAGCAGCTGTAGAAGTATAGATTAGCAGCAGCTGGTGCTGTCACATCCAGGCACTTGACCAGTGTACTCTTCCCTCAGAAGTACATTTTGACATTTGGATTTCATCTAGCAAAGAGTTTGCATGTTTGAGCAGAATTTCTCTTCTCTTTATTTCTTGGCGACTGTTCTTGCTACTAAGGGGTTATAAGCCCACAGAAGTACACGCAGTACCGCAGCCTACTGAAATCCAACATTCACTTTCAAGATGGAGCACTGCCAGCACATTGGGACTGATTGTGGACCTAGAATACCCTGCTGCCAATCAGCAGCTTTGAGCTTCTGAGTTCAGAGCCCTTTCATACTGCTCACCTCACCACAGTTGTTTTACCGCAGCACCCATTCTGTAAGCATTTCTAATGCACCCATCCCTGGGGTCTCTGCACAGGCCAGTCACATACAGTAAGAGCATTGCAGGGGCCAGATACTGCACTGTATTGATTTTCCACTGCACTGTATTGATTTCCCCCTCCATTTATGGAGGGGGAGCTAGTTATGGCTCCCTTATTCTCTGCCCAGTCCTGGCGCAGGATAAAGCACTCCAGGCTAGCATCAGTCTTCCAAGGACTGTCTGCCAGCTGAGGATAGCCAGAGTATAATGTGATCTGGATACATCCCCTTCCCTCCTCTTTCCTCCCCTCCCTGAGCATGCCCCTGTCTGCCTTTGCTATGCCCCCTGAATCAGAGCCAGAAGGAGAGGGTGGAGCAGAAGCAAGCTGTGCCAGCTGTATGCCCACTGAAGACTCCCTTCAGCCAGGAAAATCCTCGGCAGTGGAGTTTGGGCCAGATCCCACACGCAGAGCAGTGCAAAGGGAACAGAGACCTGTCCCACTATGTCCAGTCATACTATCACATGCATTTCCTTGGATAGTTCTGCAGCTAGCAAGCAAGTAGGAAATAGAATTATAGAATCACAGTATCATAGAATAGAATCATAGAATACCAGGGTTGGGAGGGACCTCAGGAGGTCATCTAGTCCAACCCCCTACTCAAAGTGGGACCAATTCCCAACTAAATCATCCCAGCCAGGGTTTTCTCAAGCCTGACCTTAAAAACTTCTAAGGAAGGAGATTCCACCACCTCCCTAGGTAACGCATTCCAGTGTTTCACCACCCTCCTAGTGAAAAAGTTTCTCCTAATATCCAACCTAAACCTCCCCCACTGCAACTTGAGACCATTACTCCTCATTCTGTCATCTGCTACCACTGAGAACAGTCTAGATCCATCCACTTGTGAACCCCCTTTCAGGTAGTTGAAAGCAGCTATCAAATCGCTCCTCATTCTTCTCTTCGGCAGACTAAACAATCCCATTTCCCATAGCCTCTCTTCAGAAGTCATGTGTTCCAGTCCCCTAATCATTTTTGTTGCCCTCCGCTGGACTCTTTCCAATTTTTCCACATCCTTCTTGTGGTGTGGGGCCCAAAACTGGACACGGTACTCAGGATGAGGCCTCACCAATGTCGAATAGAGGGGAATGATCACGTCCCTCGATCTGCCGGCAGTGCCCCTACTTATACATCCCAAAATGTCATTGGCCTTCTTGGCAACAAGGGCACACTGTTGACTCATATCCAGCTTCTCGTCCACTGTAACCCTGAGGTCCTTTTCTGCAGAACTGCTGCCTAGCCATTCGGTCCCTAGTCCGTAGCGGTACATGGGATTCTTCCATCCTAAATGCAGGACTCTGCACTTGTATTTCTTGAATCTCATCAGATTTCTTTTGGCCCAATCCTCTAATTTGTCTAGGTCCCTCTGTGACCTATCCCTACCCTCCAGCTTACCTCTCCTCCCAGTTCAGTGTCATCTGCAAACTTGCTGAGGGTGCAATCCTGTAGCTCCCAGGATCCTCCTTCTTCCCTTTTTAAAAGATGGGCACTACATTAGCCTTTTTCCAGTTGTCCGGGACCTCCCCCGATCGCCATGAGTTTTCAAAGATAATGGCCAATGGCTCTGCAATCACATCTGCCAACTCCTTTAGCACTCTCAGATGCAGCGGATCCGGCCCCATGAACTTGTGCTCGTCCAGCTTTTCTAAATAGTACGGAACCACTTCTTTCTCCACAGAGGGCTGGTCACCACCTCCCCATGCTGTGCTGCCCAGTGCTAGTCTGGGAGCTGATCTTCTTCATGAAGACAGAGGCAAAAAAAGCATTGAGAAAAAAAGCTTTTTCCACATCCTCTGTCACTAGGTTGCCTCCCTCATTCAGTAAGGGGCCCACCTTTCCTTGACCTTCTTCTTGTTGCTAACATACCTGAAGAAACCCTTCTTGTTACTCTTAACATCTCTAGCTAGCTGCAACTCCAGGTGTGATTTGGCCTTCCTGATTTCACTCCTGCATGCCCGAGCAATATTTTTATACTCTTCCCTCGTCATTTGTCCAATCTTCCACTTCTTGTAAGCTTCTTTTTTGTGTTTAAGATCAGCAAGGATTTCACTGTGAAGCCAAGCTGGTCACCTGCCATATTTACTATTCTTTCTACACTTTGGGATGGTTTGTCCCTCTAACCTCAATAAGGATTCTTTAAAATACAGCCAGCTCTCCTGGACTCCTTTCCCCCTCATGTTATTCTCCCAGGGATCCTGCCCATCTGTTCCCTGAGATTGTCAAAGTCTGCTTTTCTGAAGTCCAGGGTCCGTATTCTGCTGCTCTCCTTTCTTCCTTGTGTCAGGATCCTGAACTCGACCATCTCATGGTCACTGCCTCCCAGGTTCCTATCCACTTTTGCTTCCCCTACTAATTCTTCCCGGTTTGTGAGCAGCAGGTGAAGAAGAGCTCTGCCCCTAGTTGGTTCCTCCAGCACTTGCACCAGGAAATTGTCCCCTACACTTTCCAAAAACTTCCTGGATTGTCTGTGCACCGCTGTATTCCTCTCCCAGCAGATATCAGGGTGATTGAAGTCTCCCATGAGAACCAGGGCCTGCGATCTAGTAACTTCCGTGAGTTGCCGGAACAAAGCCTCGTCCACCTCATCCGCCTCTTCCGGTGGTCTACAGCAGACTCCCACCATTACATCACCTTTGTTGCTCACACTTCTAAACTTAATCCAGGGACTCTCAGGTTTTTCTGCAGTTTCATACTGGAGCTCTGAGCAGTCATACTGCTCTCTTACATACAATGCAACTCCCCCACCTTTTCTGCCCTGCCCGTCCTTCCAGAACAGTTTATATCCATCCATGACAGTACTCCAGTCATGTGAGTTATCCCACCAAGTCTCTGTTCTTCCAATCACATCATAATTCCTTGACTGTGCCAGGACTTCCAGTTCTCCCTGCTTGTTTCCCAGGCTTCTTGCATTTGTGTATAGGCACTTGAGATAACTTGCTGTTTGTCCTGCTTTCTTAGTATGAGGCAGGAGCCCTCCCCTCTCACGCTTTCCTGCTCGTGCTTCCTCCCAGTATCGCACGTCCCCACTTACCTCAGGGCTTTGGTCTCATAGAATCATAGAATCATAGAATATCAGGGTTGGAAGGGACCCCAGAAGGTCATCTAGTCCAACCCCCTGCTCAAAGCAGGACCAATTCCCAGTTAAATCATCCCAGCCAGGGCTCTCCTTCCCCCGGTGAACCTAGTTTAAAGCCCTCCTCACTAGGTTAGCCAACTTGCTTGCAAAGATGTTCTTCCCTCTCTTCGTTAGGTGGAGCCCGTCTCTGCCTAGCCCTCCTCCTTCTTGGAACACCATCCAGGAAGGGGTAGTGATCCGAGGGCTTGATGAGTCTCGGCAGTCTCTCCCTCACATTGTGAATCCTAGCTCCTGGCAAGCAGCAGACTTCTCGGTTTTCCCGGTTGGGGTGGCAGATAGATGACTCAGTCCTCCTGAGGAGAGACTCCCCGACCACCACCACCCGCCTCCTTCTCTTGGGAGCTGTGGTCGTGGAACCCGCATCCCTAGGACAATGCATCTCATGCCTTCAAATTGGCGGAGTCTCCTTCTGTTCCCTTTCCTCAGATGTATCATCTTGTCCACTCTCTGCATTAGTACCTGTGGAAAGAATATGAAAACAGTTGCTTACCTGTATCTGCGTTGCTGGTACATGGACGTTCCCCTTTCTTCTTCTGGAGGTCACATGCTGCAAAATTTCTTCACCGTCCTCCTGTCTGCGCAGTGCAGCCCGCTCTGAATCTTCAGAACGTTGTGTCCGTAGAAGCATATCCTGACGTCTGTCCAGGAAATCTTCAGTTTCTCTTATGCAACGCAGGGTCGATACCTGTTGCTCCAGACCTTGAACCTTCTCTTCCAATATGGAGACCAGCTTGCACTTTGTTCCGACAAAGTCACTTCTGTCCTGTTGAAGAAAGACAAACATGGCACATTCAGTGCAGGTCACAACAGCTGAACACTCCCCATCCATATTACCTTCCTTCTACGAGCTTCCTCAGGAGTTGTAGTAAGTAGTCAGAGAAGCCGGCAAGGTGTAAGCCTCAGTGGGCTCTCCCCAGGCAAACTCCCTCTGTTAGCCTCTCTGCTGTTCGCCGCTCAGCTGGTTCGCAGCTGACTGGCTTTTTATAACAGTTAGGCCCACTCAAGGCTCACCTGGAACAAAGCACTCACAATTCACACCTTTCAAACAACCAATCAAGCACGCGGTCAAACTGTCAAACTGTCCCCACAACAGACACTCAGATACTCACCAACACAGCCTCTCTAATGCAACCCTTAGCGTACCTCCTCTCAGACAGATCCCAGGCAAACTCCCTCTGTTAGGCTCTCTGCTGTTCACCGCTCAGCTGGTTTGCAGCTGACTGGCTTTTTATAACAGTCAGGCCCACTCAAGGCTCTGGAACAAAGCACTCCCAATTCACACTTTTAGGAGTCTCAGGAGGGCTGCATGATCTGAGCCAGCGATGTAGTCTTCTCCAGGCACCCTGCTCCCATAAGGGAAAAAAGTCTCTTTCTTCCACAACAGATTCTGACCTGCAGAGACTGTACCTCCGAGACGCACAAGGCTACGCCATAGTGGACAAGAAACGGCTGGAGAAGATCCTTCTGCTAAGTTACGTATGCAACACGGAGGCTGGTGAGTGCTGGGGCAGCAGCACACCTGGGCATCAGCAAAGGATCCTTATGATGTCACTGAGGCTTACAGTGACCATACGTCCCATTTGAGCTGGGACAGTCCCTTTTTTAAGCCCTGTCCCGGCTGTCCCAACTTTTTATCCAAAAGGTGGGCATTTGTCCTGTTTGCTCTTGCTGACTTGATCAGTTGGCAAAAGCAAATCGGTCAAATGCCCTCTTTTGTCACTAAAGTGGGGTGCAGTGCTGAGGGGGCGAGCGGAGATATCAGCCCCCCGCAGAGGAGAGGTAGGGCTTGTGGGAGGAAGCAGTGTAGAATTCCAGCATGCGAGGCCCCCTCTGTAGGGTTCCAGCTACTGGCACTAGCATGGGGCGGGGCCCTCTGGTGAGCAGCTGCCGGTGTCCCGTTTTCTCTTTGGGAAATATGGTCACCCTACTGAGGCTCATTTCTGAAAGAGGGACATGCTGGTGCTTTCCACTGAGCGAGATGGCAGGATAGGTGAGGGGTGTGCAGAATGGCAGGGGGGAAACCACGTGTAGAAGAATAGGAGGTGGCAATTGGGCCAGGGAAATCATGGGAAGTGTGGTGACTAGGGGGCTGGGTGGTAGTGAAAGGGATGTCTGTATCACTTTCAGGTTTCCTGTTCAAACATAGCCAAAATCCCTCCTCCCAGACTCTCCCAAACCAACTGGTGACATGCCAGCCATGCCACAGAATGCACTCCCGGAACATGCTCAGACACAACAGTGATGGGCACATTACAAGGACCTGGTAAAATAGAACACAGTTTAACCCTCCCCCCACCCCACTTGTGCGGTCCCTGTCCCTCAGTGACCAACTAAGCTCCCATAAGCTGTCTCAAAAGCACCTTTTCTTATTCTGTGCAAGGGCAAATTTCTCAGGGTGTTAGGGAACTGTGCATTGTGCACTCATGCAGGCTGTCTCACAAAGAGGCTAAGGCTCACATGAGTCACTGGAACTGAACTCCCCTGTCCCCACTCCCAGCAGAGCTGCGACCCAGGGGTGGAGTAGGGGAGGGGCTAGCAATGGCACTGCCCAAACTATGGATAAATAAAGGACTTTGATCTCCACTACTGCCCATGTGACAGGGCAGTGAGCCCTTGAGTTAGACCCTGTGACCTGTACCCCATGCCTGTGTTTCATTCCCTTCTGATCTGTTCATTTCCGGAATTTATTGCCCCTCCTTCACTTAAGAGCGTGGGGCCTTTCATTGTCTTGGTGAGCTCCATCCACAAATCCTCATTATCAAGTGGGAGGAGAGCTTCCATGAGCATGTTAACCTAATCCCCAGGGACATGCTGTTTCATAGCATGTTTCTGGACTGCTGCAGTAGTCTGTTTGTACATCTGAGTGTGTCTGTGTGTTCTCTCTCCTGGCAGAGTACCAGCAGGGGTTCCACGAGATGCTCCTGCTATTCCAATTGCTGGTGGAGAAGGAACATGAGGTCTACTGGCTGTTTCAATTCTTCCTCCAGAAAACAGTAGGTCAGAGGGTTTGTAGGGCCCCGGCTTTGTGCCCTCACTGGGCCATCCAGTTGACCAGCCTGCAGCAATGCTCCCTAGAGGCAATCTGCCTGACCTGACCACCCACACCCAGCTGTGGCAGACACCCCAGAGAGAAGAGGACCAGCCTGACCCCCTCCTGGTTTGCAAGCCCGCCCATACTTCACCAGTGATAAGTCACCCAACTCAACTTTTTCTCCCAGCCACCCTGCTCCACCCCCTGTATGACAAATGGTGTGACTTGACTCATGTCCCGCCTGCCAAGCCACAGTGAGGAGGGAGATGGAGCCAGCCTTACAGGACATGCCCAGGCTGCTGGTGGAAGCTGGATAGTTGGGGAGGTGGTTACATCACCAGAAGACCTGGAACAGCAATTTGGCAAAACACTCCCCATCAGTCAGAATGAGGGGTGGGAGGGGAGTCAACTGTTTCCTAGCTCCTAATAACCCAACAGATCAAACTCACTAGAACTGAAGCCAAGAGGCTCCTGGGTTTTGTAGTTTGGCACATTGTTGGATAAAGCCACCCCAGGAAAACTGCAAACTGCAGTAAGACGTCCTCACCTTGACTTCTCACCATGCTTCCCAGGGCATTGCACCCCTCCAAGTTGGCAAACCAGAGGCAGTGCCCCCTAGCTGTCTCAGAAAGACAGACCATCTTGGACACCACACAGGCCTGGTGTCTATGAGCACCATGCAAGCAGAGGTTATATCTGATGTATGTTTAACTCTAGACATATTAGTACATGGTTACAGAAACAGAGAAACATAAGCAACAGTGTGCACTGAGTTTGTGTCTAATGGCTGGTCCACCAGAGGGTAACAGCCTACTGCTGCTACCAGCTACTGGGAATGTACCTTTTGCTTAAGCATAGCGATCTATAATACAATTCAGAAGGTCCCAGGTTGAAACCCAGTTGGTGACTCATGCAGGGGCTTGTTTCATATAGATCTTGGTAGTGTAAACCCTGGCCAGATTCATTCCTGGGGTAAGGCCAATGGAGTTATGGGAAGGATTTGGCTTCATGGATTTAACAGGAGGCTATAGCCAAGCTGGGCCATCTGGTCTCTTCCTGTCCTCCAAGCCTTCCTGAATTGTCTCTTCCAGGAGCACAGCTGTGTTGTGAACATTGGGGTCGGGAAAAATCTGATAATGCTGAAAGCAGTGATATCATTTATGGATCCCGTCTTTGCAAAGCACTTGGGTAAGTCCTGCTACTCTCCCTCCCCACCCAGAGAACAACAAAGCAAATGCTACTGGAGCTCAGGTAATTTCCAGGCGTTGGAAGCAAAACAAAGGAACCATTTACACAGTGACAGGTTTTGCCTAGGTCTGCCACATCCTGTGTGCATGGAGGCTGAGGCCCTGAGCAGGGGTCCCACATCCTGGGTTCCCTGGCATTGGAGCAGGACGGTGAATCTCAACCCTCCCCATCTACTTTTCCTGTCTTTCTCTATCACTATCTTGTGATGGGTAGGGGGAGTGGTCCTCTGGTATTCCATAGAATCACCAAGCTGTGGGGATGGAAGGGACCATGCAAAGTCATCAAGTCGAGCCCCCTGTGCTGTGGCAGGACCAAGTAAACCAAGACCATCCCTGACAGGAGTTTCTCTTTTAAGGCTCCTTTCCTGCACTGAGCTGTACTTTCCTTAGACTAGAAAGGCCAGACTGGCTTCCTTAGGGATCTATTGATGTCACCGTGGTGGAAAATCCAAGCTCTTCCTTCCCCTCTAGGTCCTACACTGTACCTCCATGGCACTCCCTGGGACATTACATGGGTTTAACTAGGAGGCTTGAGAATGACTAGGGTTGCCAACACATACCAGTTTCCCTAGGAGAGTTCCAATATTGACTCACATTCTACAAGTCACAGGGATGGGCCATCAGAGTCTCAGTATCTTTTGAGGCCTGTGCAACATCCTCTTGTTATGACATAGCATGGAGTTGCCATGATAATGCCTTGACGTTGCATGGCAATGTAACAGCATCCCATTCTGTGACAATGTCACTATGTGCTGACGCTGCATTGCCTGATGATGAGAGCTGGCAACATGGTGATGCAATGTCCAGGCGTTGCAACAGGATGTGTGCTCTGGAGAACCAACCTTTAAAGGTGGCAACCTAACATGTATTGCAGCAAATAAAGCAACTGAGAAGAGAGCCCCAATGTGACACTCTCTGATTTACACCTGCACAGGCTGGATGGTAAGGTGTGTCTCGGTCCCTAACCTGAGCTTGCTTTTCTCATCCTCTAGAAGGGAAGGGCAGAGTTGTGCAGTCACTGTTCCCCTGGTTTTGCCTCTTCTTCCAGCGAGTCTTCAAATCCTTTGATGATGTCTGGAGACTGTGGGAGGTGAGAGCTTTCTGACATTCTGTGGCTTTCCTGGCACCTGAAGGCATGATGGATACCCGACATTTGTAACTTTCCTTTCCCCCTACAGAGGGCAAAGAGTCTCAGCCAGAGAGGCTGCCTAAGTGACTTGCCAGAGTGGATGTGACTCCAGGGCAATGAACTAATCATCTCTTGCAGCATTTCTGTGATTGAGGACCAATGACTTGGCCCACTCCAGAATGGGACTGGAAACTGAGGCTCGTCACAAATGTTCCCTCTAAATTGTTTTTGATGGATTTTTTTTTTGACAGAAAAAAGTCTTCATGAGAAGTGGCTGCTTTCCTTGGGAAATTTTGAATTTTTTTTGTTATTTTTGAAAAACCAATATCCTGAAAGCTGAAATATTTCATAGATTCCAAGGCCAGAATGTACCATTGCGATCCAGTCTGATCTCCAGCCAGAGAACTTCCCCAAAACAATTCCTAGAGCAGTTTGATTTGGTAATACTGTCCTAGTGTCTCATTAGAGTTGTAGTTCTATTGCCTCTTGTACCCATTCTTCTCTAGGAACCTCTATGGGTCTACATCTCTCATAATGCACCATAGCAAGGGATTTCCATCATGCACTACTTTTCCTCTTCAAGAGGGAAGACTGTGATGCATCATGGGAAGTCTACCTAGGAAGCCTGGCCTATAGAAAACTGTGGACTTGACTTTGGAGTCCTGGGTTCTATTTTAGGCTTTTTCACTAGCCTGCTGGGTGACCTTGGGCAAGTCACAGCCCCTTCCCGTGCCTCAGTTTCCCCATCTGTAAAATGGGAGTAGGATATTGCCCTCATTTGTAAAGCACTATGAGACATGCTGATGAAAAGCACTTAGATAAAATCTAGGAATGTTTATGGTGATTTTTGAGACTGGGAGAATGAGGCAGCTGGCTTCCATAAGGCATCGGCAGCAGCACTTCCAAATAGAAATATTTTGGGTTTTGGCTGAAAAGTTTCAGTTTTGCGAACATTTTCTGTAAATGAAACCCCATTTCCTGCCCAGTTGTGTTGAAAACTCCAGGTGGTGGAAGGCTAGAGGGCTGAGCTATGCAAAATTCTCATAAGAAGAGGTTTTGTTATAAACCTGACACATGGGCTGAGAAATGTGTGACTCTTCAGGTGAGCTTAGGCTGGGCTTTGATGGGACCTGAGTTGACTTATTTTCATAGCTCCAGGAGGCGCCATTGTGATCATCTGGTTTGACCTCCTGAATCACACTGGCTAGAAAACCTTGCCCAGTGAATCCAGCATCAGTGTGGAATGATCCTAGTCTGCTTTTGCTCCCACAGCTGCAAGATGCAGTTTCTTCTGGTATTTCCAGCCGGACTGGGAGATGGGAATAATGGAAACCTCACTAGACAGCATAGCATCTTGGGAGGTCCCTGACTCAATTTTGCAGGCCAGAGAGGTAGAGCCCTGCAAGGATACAAAATGTGGATCTGCATCCACCAGGATCAACCCGCGATCAGACCTGCAATCTGCTAGCTGACTTTTACCTGTATCTGCCCCACACCTGCAGCAGCAAGCTGTCTCACAAGGGCTAGTGATGAGGGGGAGGGGCAGAGACTGGGTGGGGCGGGGTCTTGCAGGGAAGAGGCAGCACCATGGTGGTGACTGGGGATAAGGGGTAATGAGGGGGTGTGGTGTTGAGGAGAAGGGTAGGGTTGTCTGACATCTGGTTTTCAACTGGAACATCCGTTCGAAAAGGGACCCTGGTGGCTCTGGTCAGCACTGCTAACCAGGCCGCTAAAAGTCAGACTGGCGGCACAGCAGGCCTAAGGCAGGCTCCCTGCCTCCCCGGCTCCACACTGCTCCCGGAAGCAACTGGCATGTCCTTGTGGCCCCTAGGCACAGGTGCGATCAGGGAAGCTCTGCGCGCTGCCCCAGGGAACTGCGGCCAATGGGAGCTGCAGGGTCGGCGCATGCAGGTGCGGACAGTACACACCATGTGTGTGTTCAAGTTCCAAGGTAAAGGGAGGATTGCTGCAGCAACAGGATTCTTGCCCCACCAAACCAAACCGCTCACTTAGTGTTCTCATTTCCCAGCCCTCTTCCCAGTGGTTTTCATATCTCAATTGGCATTTGCACAGAGCTCCCTCTCCATGCTCGCCCTTCCTGCTGAGGTCTCAGGGCTGTGCCATGGCAGGAGAAACTCTATCTGAAATGGGGAGGAGAGTGTCTGAACACCCTGCGCAGACAATGCTGGAAGTGAGATTATTTGGCCAAGTGAGTCTCCAAAAAAATATCAAAAGCCACTTTGCCCTTGAAAACCTAGAATCAGTTCACCCAGCAGCAAATGCAGCTCAGACCAAGTGGATGAGTTCATTGCAAGATGAACGACCAATATTGGTATATGGTTAATTTGCACTTGCTTAATATATTGGAGTCTGTATGGACCCAGCAAGTCAAGGGGCTCTGTGCTGTTGGAGGTGCCATGTTTTGTCTGAGAAGTCAAGGGTCTCGGCACTTGTTTTTGATAAAGAGCCCCTACTACTTATTTTGCAAGAGGAGTAGCATTAGCTGCAGTGTTGTCAGCCAAGATCAGGGCCCTATTGTGCTAGGCGCTGTACATATAGCAGGAGACAGGATCTACGCCCTAAGAGTGTATCCTGTAAATTGATCCCTGCTTTACACTCAAGTGGGAAGCTGATGGTCAAAGAGGATAAGGGAATCTGTGGCAGAGGTGGGAATTGAAGCCAGCTCTTCTCAGTCCCATTCATGTTCCTAAACCACAAGCCCAACCTTCCAAATAGATACAGTCCCCCTCCCTAAAATTACTCCTGTAATTTCATGTGCAGCAACTGTTTCTCCATTTCCCCTATTTATTTGTGTAGTGTTGCTGCATGCTCTGAAATACAGTCCCCCTCCCTAAAATTACTCCTGTAATTTCATGTGCAGCAACTGTTTCTCCATTTCCCCTATTTATTTGTGTAGTGTTGCTGCATGCTCTGAAATAGCTGCCTTGTTCCACCACACAAGTGGCTGCATTTCAATGGCAGATGACTCAGTGATCTCAAAGATATAGTCTACGAAAAGCTTTGGGATCCTCCAGCATAAAAGGTGCTATAGACTGCTAGTATGTTTTGTTCCTGAGACAAAAGGTTCAGATTCTGCTGGGTTTGGGTGGAGCATGGGAATCACCTCTGACGTTTTTCACTGATTCTGGCCCATGGTCTGTTTCTTCCAAGGTATTCCTGATGGGGATACCCTGCAGAAATTTCCAAGTGATCGTGGCCTACACTATGCTGCAGAGTGTCAGAGACCAAATCCTCCGGGAAAATATGGGTGGAGATGACATTTTAATGGTGAGCCAGCCAGCAGGGAGCCTGGTGTGTAACACAGTCCCCCCTCCCACAGAAAATCAGTAGATAAGGAGGGGAATGGGATGCACTGCATCATCCCTCTAGGACAGGGATTCAATTCAAGCCCTTCTCAATAGCAATAGAGTGTTGTTGCCATCAGGCTGCTGTTGGTGCCCTGACTGAGATGAGTTGGTGGGTCTCAGGCCAGATCCTAGTGGACAGCTAGCTACATCACCAGACACACATTTCTGCTTGATATGGATCAGCCTCCTTGTTGGCAGAGAGGCCAAGCAATGAATGTGATTGAAAGGACACGCTTACCCGCTGAGGTGGTCCTCCTCACTCAAGGATGGGACATATTGGCAGGGAACACTGAGGGAAGCATGCACTTCCACAGCATGAGCTCTGCCTGTCCTGGGTGCCATTCTTCAAGGTAGTCAAGTGGCACTTTTCTCAGGCACTCAGTTGCCTTTAACAAATGTGAGTTCAGTGTTTTTAATGGACATGAGCCCAAATATGAACACAGGATTCTAAACCCCCTGAACTTTGGGGATGTTCAGACCAGGAGCCAGATCTAAAGTCTGCAGCTTGGTCCTATCCTGATATGCAGAACTTGAAGGAAGCTTGGCATCAGATCTGATTCCTGGCCTGACCTTTGTGAAGAGGTCCCATTTCAATTTTTCAAGCTGTAATCTCTGAGAATGAATGGGGAAGGACAAAGAGGGGGAATTTTCAAATAAAAAATGGAATTAAGAATCTAGATCCCTGGTTCCTTCCTAATACAGCAGATTAGTTCTTCAATAGGATTTATGAGGAAAGATTTATTATAGGCAGAGCTAGTAGTGCTGCCTGGAGTTAAGGTTATCCAACACTTTCTTTTATATGGCCATGTTTACACTTGCTCATACCTTTGCCAAACTGTTATTCTGGCTGAAATTTCCCATGCTTGGTGTCAGCCTCAGGCTGATTATTTTTGGAAAGTTTCAGCAAAAGCAATTCAGACATTTCTGAGAACAAGATTAGGGAAAGAAAGATACATTGTTTTGCCCATGTTAAAAATTCTCACAACCATTTTATTGAAGCTCTCCCCACCCCTCCCCTCGTGCTTTGGGACTAGAACTTGAAATCTTACTAAAAGAGGCAGTGGTCCTGTAGAAAAGACAGTAGGTGATCATGTAATTGAAGACTGTATCATAATGCATACACACAAGGGAGGCCCAATTCAGGGTGCTCAGAAACCTTAATTCTGGCCCATCCTAATGTTAATACTTGACTTTGCAGTCTTAGTATTCTTTTAACGGAGGTTTGCATGTGTAATATAGGATATGTTCCATGAAGGAAATGTGGGGGAGGGACAGGAGTGATGGCTGTGTTCAGTATTTAAAGATCTGAAATACCAATAAAGGAAAAGGATTGTTTGGATGATCAAAAGAGAAATAAATAGGAGTGAAATGAAATCAGATGAAAATCAGATGAAAGCCAGCAAAGGAAAATGTCAGAGTGACTCTCCTGACAGTCAGATCTGTGAGGCTGTGGAGTAGCCTCCTTTGGGAAATGGTAGGTCTTCCAGCACTAGAGCCATTTGAAACTGGGATGCATAGTAGAGTGGTGGTGGTCTTTCCTCTAGGGTATAATCTTGTGCCAGCAAGGGCATGGACAAGATGTTACCTAACAGCTCTTTCCTGCCTCTCATGTCTAAGATTCCCTGATATGACCTTTTCATGATTGCCACTTCTCTTGACCCCCCCTCTAGTTTTGCAATTGGCACCCCTAAAATTTGCAGATGGTCTAAAAGATGAGGTGGTTCAGTTCAGCACCCATGAACATGGATGGTTGTCTAAACCTCCTCCAGACTGACCTGAACTCCCTGGCTCTCCAAGCATCTTCACTGACCAGCATGTCCTGTTGAATGTGCATTTCTTTTTATTAATATTACAGTAGGATCACTAGAGATTGCGGTCCTGTTGTGCTAGGCACAATAAAAGATACTCCCTGCCCAACAATCTAAACAGGCAAGGGCTAGGAGGGGAAACAGAGGGACAGGGACTTGCCCAAGGTCACCCCACAGTCAATGGCAAACCTGGTATAGAGGCTCAGGTTATTCATACAACAATGCTGCGTTTTCTAAACTGAAACGTTTGCAGTAAAGGGCCAGTTTCTACTGGACACTCGGCGGGAAGGTTTCTAAGGTCCAGGATGGGATTTCTGGTCAAAACCACGGGGAGCAAGTGACCCACCTCAGACCAGTCATAGAATCATAGAATATCAGGGTTGGAAGGGACCTCAGGAGGTCATCTAGTTCAACCCCCTGCTCAAAGCAGGACCAATCCCCAACTAAATCATCCCAGCCAGGACTTTGTCAAGCCTGACCTTAAACACTTCTAAGGAAGGAGACTCCACCACCTCCCTAGGTAACGCATTCCAGTGATTCACCACCCTCCAAGTGAAAAAGTTTTTCCTAATATCCAACCTAAACTTCCCCCACTGCAACTTGAGACCATTACTCCTCATTCTGTCATCTGCTACCACTGAGAACAGTCTAGATCCATCCTCTTGGGAACCCCCTTTCAGGTAGTTGAAAGCAGCTATCAAATCCCCCCTCATTCTTCTCTTCCGCAGACTAAACAATCCCAGTTCCCTCAGCCTCTCCTCAGAAGTCATGTGTTCCAGTCCCCTTATCATTTTTGTTGCCCTCCGCTGGACATTTTCCAATTTTTCCACATCCTTCTTGTGGTGTGGGGCCCAAAACTGGACACAGTACTCCAGATGAGGCCTCACCAATATCGAATAGAGGGGAATGATCACGTCCTGGATCTGCTAGCAATGCCCCTACCTATACATCCCAAGATACCATTGGCCTTCTTGGTGACAACAGCACACTGTTGACTCATATCCAGCTTCTCGTCCACTGTAACCCCGAGGTCCTTTTCTGCAGAACTGCTGCCTAGCCATTCAGTCCCTAGTCTGTAGCAGTGCATGGGATTCTTCCATCCTAAGTGCAGGACTCTGCACTTGTCCTTGTTGAACCTCATCAGATTTCTTTTGGCCCAATCCCCTAATTTGTGTAGGTCCCTCTGTAACCTATCCCTACCCACCAGCGTATCTACCTCTCCTCCCAGTTTAGTGTCATCCGCAAACTTGCTGAGGGTGCAATCCACACCATCCTCCAGATCATTAATGAAGATATTGAACAAAACCAGCCCAGGACTGACCCTTGGGGCACTCCACTTGATACCGGCTGCCAACTAGACATGGAGCCATTGATCACTACCCATTGAGCCCGACAATCTAGCCAGCTTTCTATCCACCTTATAGTCCATTCATCCAGCCCATACTTCTTTAATCTGCTGGCAAGAATACTGTGGGAGACCTTGTCAAAAGCTTTGCTAAAGTCAAGGAGCAACATGTCCACTGCTTTCCCCTCATCCACAGAGCCAGTTATCTCCTCATAGAAGGCAATTAGATTAGTCAGGCATGACTTGCCCTTGGTCAATCCATGCTGACTGTTCCTGATCACTTTCCTCTCCTCTAAGCGCTTCAGAATTGATTCCTTGAGGACGTGCTCCATAAATTTTCCAGGGACTGAAGTGAGGCTGACTGTCCTGTAGTTCCCAGGATCCTCCTCCTTCCCTTTTTAAAGATGGGCACTACATTAGCCTTTTTCCAGTCGTCCGGGACCTCCCCCGATCGCCATGAGTTTTCAAAGATAATGGCCAATGGCTCTGCAATCACATCCGCCAACTCCTTTAGCACTCTTGGATGCAGCGCATCCGGCCCCATGGACTTGTGCTCGTCCAGCTTTTCTAAATAGTACGGAACCACTTCTTTCTCCACAGAGGGCTGGTCACCTCCTCCCCATGCTGTGCTGCCCGGTGCAGTAGCCTGGGAGCTGACCTTGTTCATTAAGACAGAGGCAAAAAAAGCATTGAGTACATTAGCTTTTTCCACATCCTCTGTCACTAGGTTGCCTCCCTCATTCAGTAAGGGGCCCACACTTTCCTTGACTTTCTTCTTGTTGCTAACATATCTGAAGAAACCCTTCTTGTTACTCTTAACATCTCTTGCTAGCTGCAACTCCAGGTGTGATTTGGCCTTCCTGATTTCACTCCTGCATGCCCGAGCAATATTTTTATACTCTTCCCTCATCATTTGTCCAATCTTCCACTTCTTGTAAGCTTCTTTTTTGTATTTAAGAGCAGTAAGGATTTCACTGTGAAGCCAAGCTGGTCACCTGCCATATTTACTATTCTTTCTACAGTTCAGGATGGTTTGTCCCTCTAACCTCAATAAGGATTCTTTAAAATACAGCCAGCTCTCCTGGACTCCTTTCCCCCTCATGTTATTCTCCCAGGGGATCCTGCCCATCTGTTCCCTGAGGTTGTCAAAGTCTGCTTTTCTAAAGTCCAGGGTCCGTATTCTGCTGTACTCCTTTCTTCCCTGTGTAAGGATCCTGAACTCGACCTCCCAGGTTCCCATCCACTTTTGCTTCCCCTACAAATTCTTCTCGATTGTGAGCAGCAGGTGAAGAAGAGCTCTGCCCCTAGTTGGTTCCTCCAGCACTAGCACCAGGAAATTGTTCCCTATACTTTCCAAAAACTTCCTAGATTGTCTGTGCACTGCTGTATTGCTCTCCCAGCAGATATCAGGGTGATTGAAGTCTCCCATGAGAACCAGGGCCTGCGATCTAGTAATTTCTGTTAGTTGCCGGAAGAAAGCCTCGTCCACCTCATCCCCCTGGTCCGTTAGTCGATAGCAGACTCCCACCACGACATCACCCGTGTTGATCATGCTTCTGAACTTAATCCAGAGACTTTCAGGTTTTTCTGCAGTTTCATACTGGAGCTCTGAGCAGTCATACTGCTCTCTTACATACAATGCAACTCCCCCACCTTTTCTGCCCTGCCCGTCCTTCCAGAACAGTTTATATCCATCCATGACAGTACTCCAGTCATGTGAGTTATCCCACCAAGTCTCTGTTCTTCCAATCACATCATAATTCCTTGACTGTGCCAGGACTTCCAGTTCTCCCTGCTTGTTTCCCAGGCTTCTTGCATTTGTGTATAGGCACTTGAGATAACTTGCTGTTTGTCCTGCTTTCTTAGTATGAGGCAGGAGCCCTCCCCTCTCACGCTCTCCTGCTCGTGCTTCCTCCCGGTATTCCACGCCCCCACTTACCCGAGGGCTTTGGTCTCCTTCCCCCGGTGAACCTAGTTTACAGCCCTCCTCACTAGGTTGGCCAGCCTGCTTGCGAAGATGCTCTTCCCTCTCTTTGTTAGGTGGAGCCCGTCTCTGCCTAGCACTCCTCCTTCTTGGAACACCATCCCATGGTCAAAGAATCCAAAGCCTTCTCTCCGACTCCAACTGCGTAGCCATTCGTTGACTTCCACGATTCGACGGTCTCTACCCAGACCTTTTCCTTCCACGGGGAGGATGGATGAGAACACCACTTGCGCCTCAAACTCCTTTATCCTTCTTCCCAGAGCCATGTAGTCTGCAGTGATCCACTCAAGGTCATTCTTGGCAGTATCATTGGTGCCCATGTGAAGAAGCAGGAAGGGGTAGCGATCTGAGGGCTTGATGAGTCTCGGCAGTCTCTCCCTCACATTGTGAATCCTAGCTCCTGGCAAGCAGCAGACTTCTCGATTTTTCCAGTCAGGGCGGCAGATAGATGACTCAGTCCCCCTGAGGAGAGAGACCCCAACCATCACCACTCGCCTCCTTCTCTTGGGAGCGGTGGTCGTGGAACCCCCATCCCTAGGACAGTTCATCTCATGTCTTCCAGTCAATAGCCTAGTGATCAAAGCACTCACTTGGGACACTTAGGGTCACATTCCTGCTCCGAATCCAGCAAAGCAGGGATTGAAACCGCAGGCTGTCACATCCCAGGGGAATAGCCCCTGAGCTATTCTGGGGTGGGGCTCTGTCTCTTTGGTTCATCCGGATGCGGGATGAGATTTTTTTTTTTTTATTTCAAAATTTTTCACAGAACAGGAAAACTTTTTCCTACTCAGCTCTACTCCTTAGGCCTTAGACAGGCCTTAACCTCATGTGACCAGGTGACCTCTCCCCATTGTAGAATGTGCCAAAGATCTGCAGGGCAGAGTGGAGAGGAGACTGCTGCCTTTGGGCTGTATATCGTACCAGAGCAGAATCTCTCATGAGATTCCCAACCCCTGTCAGGGATGATCTAGGTTTACCTGGTCCTGTCTTAGTGCAGGGAGTTGGACTAGATGTCCCCTCAAGGTCTTTTCCAGCCCTGCATTGCTATGATTGTAATCCCTGGTGGGAAGTAGAAGGAGGGGATGAAATTATGAATAGGAAACGTGAGAATAAAAAAGTGAAGCAAATGTCAAAAATGCATAGTGTTCAGGCTTGGATGAAGATACAGGTAGCTCCTGGTAGCTGTGTCACCCAGTCCTAGCTGCCACATTAGATACCCCCTGCCCTGGTTAAAACATTCAGCAGACACACCATGGCAGCAGAGCCAGGTTTGGAGCAGTGGCGGGGTTGGGGGCTGATGGTGCCAGCCAGGGGTGAAAGTAACTGATGCCACTTACCGGTTCGGGGCGGGCTGGCTCCGGCCCCTGGAAGGGGCGGGGCCTTGGGTGGAAGGGGCAGGACTGGGGGGTCAGCATCCCCCAGCCAGTCCTTCCAGTCCGGCTGGCCCGTGCCGCCCAGGGCTCCCGCGTTGATTTAAAGGGCCCGGGGCTCTGGACGCTGCTGCTGCCCTAGCGGCAGTGGTGTCCGGAGCCCCAAGCCCTTTTAAATCACTGGCCCCAGGGCAGCTGCTCCCTTTGCACCCCCCCGTCTGTTGGCGGCCGGGGGGGCCAAAAGGGGCAGGAACGTTAAAGCGCTACAGGGTCCTTTGCCGTGCCCTGCTGACAGGGGGGCACAGCAACATTAAAGAGCCGCAGCGGCAAAGGAGCATCCTTAAAGCACTGCTGCGGTAGCGCTTTTATGTCCCTGCCGCTTTTGCCTCCCCATCGGTGGCCCTGCTGGGACGGACCCCACCGGCAGGGCCACTGGCAGGGGGAAGGGGCAGCGACGTTAAAGCGCTGCAGCAGCAGCACTTTAAGGACGGTCCTTTGCTGCGCCAGCGCTTTAACGTCGCTGCCCCTTCCCCCTTCCCCCCCGCGTTGGTGGCCCTGCCGGTCCGGACCCCACCAGCAGGGCACTGACAGGGGGGGCAAAAGGGGCAGGGACATTAAAGCGCTGCCACGGCAACGCTTTACTGTGGGCTGGGTACGGGCCGGTGCGGTTCTTACCGGTACGCAGTACCGGCCCCTACCGGCTCCCTTTCACCCCTGGTGCCAGCTTCAGTGATACCTATTGGCTTGAAAAGGCACTGCACATACAGCTAACGGCCACCAGGGGAGCAGCCTCCTGCCCCCTATTTGCTCTACCCTGGTTGGTGGTGTCTCTGCTCTCCTTTCCCCCCCGTAGGTCTGTGGGAACATCATAGACCTGGATGCAGATGAGCTGATCTCCAAAGCCTGCTCCACATACAAACTGCTCATGGAACACAAGGAAAAGGTAATGGACAGAGGCTTGTGCTGGCGGGATGGGAGCGCTGGGAGAATCATCTCGTCAGTGTCTCACCCAGACCCTTTTCTCCACAGGTTCCAGATGAGCTGAAGGAGTTCTTCCTTCAGGGAGACTCATAGAGACAGAAGAGTTAGCAATAAATGTGTGTATGACCCGGAGTGGGCATCAGAATTTGGCCCTGGCTGCTGCGCCACCCTGGCAATATAAACAGACTCCACCCTCGCCCCCCGGAGATCTATCAGTTCGGGGGTGGGGCAGGACTGACATAGGTAACCGCCGCTGGAGGGGAAAGGGCTGCAGCTGGAGTTCACTGGCATCTGGAGGGAAGCCCCCAACAGGAGCTGCTCTGCTGTACACCCACAGGGCCACCAGTCCTAGACCAGCTCCGAATCCTGGAGGTGTGAGAGTGGCATAAAGCCACCATAGTAATCCCTGGGGCTCCTGGGGCCATGCCCACTTCTTGGTGTGTTCGCCCATGTGGCATCAGGCAGAATTGAGCCTGCAGTTCACCCTGTCTCTCAGGCCATGAGCCAAAGCCCCTGGCATGAAGAGGACTTCCATAGGCTGCAGCAGGCTATGGGTGGCTCTGTGCTGTGCGAATGCCCCAGCTGAGCAGACAGCTCGTGGCACTAGAAGATGACCGATTCTACTATCCCCAGGTGCTGTTAGTAACCCAGGCAAACCAGGTGGTGGGCACCTCCATTAGAGCCCTGCCACTTGCCCTGAACCCGATGGGACCTGACTATGAGTCAGCTCCAGTCAGGGGGAGCAGAGATATCCCAGGGCAGAAGGCAGTGCTGACTCAGATTCAGGGGGAAGGATCAGGGTCAGGTAGGGTGGACTTGGGTCCAGTTTGGGTCTGGATCAGGCCTATAAATTAAGCCCAAGAAGCCCTCTAACTTCTACTGGGTAAACAGGCAACTTGTAACCTTGCAAGGGTCCCTTCAAAGACCAGGGCCTTCCAGCCCCCCCCCCCCCCCCAGTCCCATTTCTTCCACCTGTTTGGGCAGCTTTCCTTCACCCCGAGGCACCACTGGGATCCTGTGCTGTTTGCACTGGGTTCCCAGCAGGACACAGCAGCTTTTCTGGGTGTGCAGCCTTCTCCCGACTGGGCACATAATCCTAGCCAAACTCCCTGCTATAGTGCCTGGGAAGTGAGGGGGCTGGTAACTCCCCCTACACAGATCTGTCAATGCACTCTCATGCAGACCACTGGTGCCCCTGGATCATAGACTCATAGAAGATTAGGTTTGGAAGAAACCTCAGGAGGTCATCTAGTCCAACCTCCCAAACCTCAAAGCAGGACCAACCCCAACTAAATCATCCCAGCTAGCTTAGCCATCCTCTTTGGAACCCCCCTTCAGGTAGTGGAAGGGTGCTATCAAATCCCCCCCTCACTTTTCTCTTCTGCAGACTAAATAAGCCCAGTTCCCTCAGCCTCTCCTCGTAAGTCATGTGCCCCAGCCCTCTAATCATTTTCGTTGCCTTCTGCTGGACTTACTCCAATTTTTCAGATAGTCTGGTCTTGGGCAGCAGCACCCACCCCTGCTCCCCTTTCTTCCAGGATTGGACCCCCACAGCTCTGCCAGTGCACCTGAGTCCTGCCCAGTGGCTTGCTCCTTGTACTGTGGTTCTGAGCCTCTGCTGAACTACAGCAGTGCTCCTGGTAGGCCCTGGGACCAAGCACTGGATGCACCAATCCTGCCTCTGCCAAACTAGTCCACATGCAGGCTTTGTCCTGCCTCAGTTTCCCCTCCCCCAGCTCCGCTACTATTTCTCAGTCACAGCCTGCCCTCCAACACCCGCTGGTAGGGCTGTCCCCAGAGCCCATGGTAGGCAATGGAGAGACTCTGGTTGACTTCAGTGGGCTCTGGATCAGGCCATTAGTCCAGTGCCAGGACTCTCAGACCATTCCATCAGTTCTGATCGTACTTGTTGGGGCCCATTTTGACTACAGTGAATCCTAGTCCCCCGGGGCAGCCCTAGTATGCCAGGTGGAGGGGGGGAACCTAGGTACATAAAGCCACGGTGCTGCCTAACACCCGCTCACATTTGGTTGGGAATCTTAACGCACGTCAAAGTTGGTTCTGATCTGCCCATGTCACTTTAATATCCAGCCTGCTGCAGACATTTTATTGAGAGTCACCCATGTCCATTTAAGGGGTTGACGGGAAGTCAAGAGCACCCTGCAGAGCTTCCACTTTCCGCAGCCATTCCAACCCCACTGCTCTGCTCTCTTTGCCTTGCTGCTTTGCATGCCGTGGGGAGAGCAGATGGCAGGTTCTCAGGTGCCTCCCTGTACCAACAAAATAAACAAAGCCTGGGAAGGAGCACTGTAACTGCAATGGAGCAGGGCTGCCCACTGATCTGCGGTGTGTTCTAAGTGATATGCCAGGCACCTGCGCCCTGCAGGAGACTCTCCTCAGAAGGGACAGGGATGGACAGGAGATGCTTTTGGAGTGACTCAGGATGTTGGAAAGCCACTAGAGCCCCAGCCAGGTGGCACAGCAGATCGATCCTGTGAAATGGGCTTGGTCGCCTTCCGCTGGCATCCATCCCACAAAGTGCTTGGTGGCTTAATGGGAGGCCTGGGGGTACTGAAGTCAGTAGGGGGTTTCCCCTTCCAGAGGGCTAACCCTATTGGTTGGGATCCAATTCCCTCTCCTTCTGGAAAACTGGTCTGGAACCAGGCAGGCATGAAACCTGTAGGGGTTCTGCAGAACAGAGGCAGTGCACTCTGATAGGCCTATGTGTCCCCAGGCTTGCAGCAGGTGCTCACACCTCCTTGAAGCCTTCCACCACCTCTCCTTCCCCTTCACCTCAGCTTAGACCTTGTGTAAGGCTGGGTCATCACATACAGGGATTGAACCCACAAGCTGTTCATTGAAAGAGTATGAGCCTCCACCCGCTGAGCAAAAAAGCCAGCTATGGTAGAGCAGGGGCAGACTCATAAAATTATATGCATTGTCTGGCCACTAGAGTGGGACAACGTGCCACAATGCATTCGCCTGGGGCACATTTGCATCAACCCTCATGTGAGATACATACTCTGCCTCGCCTCTTTCACTCCCTGACTAAACAGATTGTCCCTGGCTTAGGCTCTGCTTCCTTTATGCTTCACGTCTTCTCTTCCCACACTCTCCCATCCCTCTGAGCTCTGGCTGGCTAGGTTGTTCCCAGCTATGCATTGGGCATTGCATGGGCAATGCGTGCCCTGAAGTGCCGATGAGCGAAATGGGCAAAGGGAAGATCATTACCCCATAGGGAACTGAGGCATATTGACTTCTCCAGGATCCCAGAGAATGACCTGAGCCCAGCTTAACCACATCATCACTTGTGGCTACCACAAGACCAGCCTTCACCTCTTAATAAAACACTGATGGAAATAAAACCACCAACCACTAACATGGGAGGGGTAATCCCCTAGCCACCATCCCCTGGCTGTCTTCCATGCCTTTCTCTTCATACTGCTCCTCTCTCCATCTCCAGCCAGACATCATGTGCCAGTGAATGCCACCCATCTGGCATATTGTTGCTGCTAACTATCTTTTCATGCTTCTCAGCTTCAAGGGGCATGTATCAACATCAAAGCAACTTTTGAGTTGACAGGTCAGCATTTTGGCTTGCACTGGAAGGTGTTCCAAATGTTCTGCTGAATCTGGTGTGCAATCATCACACCGGTACTGGTGTGAGAGTGCATGTTGGTTCATGGCTTTTGCCATGTTTCTTAGGTGTGCAGCAGGGATGCATTCTCACCCTGGAACTATTCTGTTGAGTTATCGACTGGATATTAGCACATGCCACTCCACACACTGGAATCAAGGTTGGTCAAGCAATGTTCACCAACCATCGACAATGCTGCCCTGCTTGTGGAAAAGTCAGAGAATTTCATCCCTGCCCTCCGAAGTCTCCAAGATGTCACCTGGGCTCTGGGGTTGAACATTCCTGGCAGAACACCAAGATCCGGAATCTTAGAGTTGGGTACCAGAACCCCCAGTGCAGGTTGGTGGCGAGTACCATGGAGAATGTTGATGAATTCATCTGCCTAGGCTGCAAGGAGAATTCAAACATTCACAGCAAACTGAACATTCTTTGATGAGTAGGTCTCGCCACCTCCTGCATGATGTCCATGTCTCACCTATGGACATAAAAATGTCTTTCTTTGAGACCAAGTTGAGGATCTATCAAACGTATGTATTGCCTGTATTGCTAGATGGATCAGAAGCCCAGACACTTTCACAGGCAGACTTGGAGCCACTAGAGTCATTCCAGGTGTGCAGTCAGTGCCAAATCCTGAGAATAAAGTGGTATGACTTTGTGCTCAATGTCACAATCTCAAAAAGATCTGGCCTTCCTACCATTGCTCACTGTATTCAGAAGCAGTGTTGTGTGCTCTTTGGCCATGTTGTGATGATGGACAAAAACAGCCCAGCACACTGTGCTCTCAAATTCTCCACTGACACACAAAGGGATGCATGTCTTGGCCTACCTGGTTCCATCCACGGGGCCACCACATTAATTTGTGGATTAATAGGAGTGAACAAAATCTGAGAACTTCCCTACATGATGCCTGGTGCGACACCATCAACCGTGGTACCTGTGGCTGCCACAACAGTCCTTAGTCCTCCAAGTCTAGTTGGCAGCTGGTATCAATTGGCGTGCCCCAAGGGTCGGTCCTGGGGCCAGTTCTGTTCAATATCTTCATTTATGATCTGGAGGATGGTGTGTACTGCACCCTGAGCAAGTTTGCAGATGACACTAAATTGGGAGGAGTGGTAGGTACACTGGAGGGTAGGGATAGGATACAGAGGGATCTAGACAAATTAGAGGATTGGGCCAAAAGAAATCTGATGAGGTTCAACAAGGACAAATGCAGAGTCCTGCACTTAGGACTGAAGAATCCCATGCACCGCTACAGACTAGGGACCAAGTGGCTTGGCAGCAGTTCTGCAGAAAAGGACCTAGGGGTAACAGTGGACAAGAAGCTGGATAAGAGTCAACAGTGTGCCCTTCTTGTCAAGAAGGTTAATGGCATTTTGGGATGTATAAGTAAGGGCATTGCTAGCAGATCCAGGGACGTGATCATTCCCCTCTATTCAATATTGGTGAGGCCTCATCTGGAGTACTGTGTCCAGTTTTGGGCCCCACACTACAAGAAGGATGTGGAAAAATTGGAAAGAGTCCAGCAGAGGGAAAAAAAAAATGATTAGGGGACTGGAGCACGTGACTTATGAGGAGAGGCTGAGGGAACTGGGATTGTTTAGTCTGCAGAAGAGAAGAATGAGGGGGGATTTGATAGCTGCTTTCAACTACCTGAAGGGGGATTCCCAAGATGATGGATCTATACTGTTCTCAGTGGTAGCAGATGACAGAATGAGGAGTAATGGTCTCAAGTTGCAGTGGGGGAGGTTTAGGTTGGATGTTAGGAAAAACTTTTTCACTAGGAGGGTGGTGAAGCACTGGAATGCGTTACCTAGGGAGGTGGTGGAATCTCCTTCCTTAGAGGTTTACAAGGTCAGGCTTGACAAAGTCCTGGCTGGGATGATTTAGTTGGGGATTGGTCCTGCTTTGGGCAGGGGGTTGGACTAGATGACCTCCTGAGGTCCCTTCCAACCCTGATATTCTATGATTCTATGATTAGTAGGCTGTGATTATTAAAGACAAATGTTGCAGGAGTGCAGGCTTCTATTATTGTGAAGGAAAGCGAGATACTTTGTTTAAAAACAGAGAGACGCACTTCAATTGTGCCCCAAGTTTGGGGGCTTTTGTCATTCCCCATGAAGACAGGCCAGCTGTAAAACAAAGTGAGATTTTAAGATGAAGAAAGAGATGCCAGCCCGTGTTGGAAATGCTCAGGTTGGCAGGTGGAGCAGAAAATCTGCCGATATCATATTCAGAGCACCTAATATGTTCTGGAGGTGTCCAGTGAATATTAACACAGAGTTGCATTTTATCACTCCAGACATTTTTGCTGACACTGGGCTATTTATTTTGCAACAGATGCTCCCTGGGTGGGGATTTGGGAAGCTGAGCTAATTCAGCCTGAAACACTTCATTTGGGAGATAAGAAGAGCCAGTGAAAAGAGAAAAAGTTGGAAGGACCTCAGACAGGAGAAGCTTTCTCTGATAGGGTGTCTGCCCCACAGTGGCCTGTAAGGGATTAATGGAGCCCTAGGAAGGCTGTGCAGAAAGCAGCTAATAGGAGAGGGGCTGTGAGGAGCAGCCAATCAGGGCCCAGCAGGCCCATAGAAGAAGAGCTGCAGGGCAGAGCAGGTTTAGTTGCTCCCTGGAGCTCAAGGAGGGAATACTGGCTGCCTTGGAGGTGGAAGAAAGCCAGCACTCTGGACAGAGCAGTGCTACTTAGAGGGAGCTAGGGAGCGGCTGGAAGTTGCAGGCTGAGACCTTGAGGCAAAGGCAAAGAAGATGCTGGGGCTGTGAGGAAGTGACCCAGGGAAATAGACTGAGAGGTTTGAGGGCGACACAGCTGCCATCTACAGGGTCCCTGGGCTGGGACCTGGAGTAGTGGGTGGGCCCGGGTCCCCCCACACACACTTGCCACTGAGGAAGTGGCTGGACTGTGGGACTGTCCCCCAGAAGTGCGGAGCACAGAGTGTGACACAGCCGGAGGGCTGTGTCCTGAAGAGGATGCCCTGGTCTTTGGAGTGACACGAGTCTAGGAGCAGAAGTGATGGCAGGTGAGACACCACTGAGAGTCAGCGTGACAACTTGTGGAGCTGATCCACAAGATGACCAGCAGGAGGCACTAGTGTGGTGAGTCCCACCCCATCACATGTGGTGGAGAATGCAGGTACACAGTCATAGAATATCAGGGTTGGAAGGGACCTCAGGAGGTCATCTAGTCCAACCCCCTGCTCAAAGTAGGACCAATCCCCAACCAAATCATCCCAGCCAGGGCTTTGTCAAGCCTGACCTTAAAAACTTCAAAGGAAGGAGATTCCACCTCCTCCCTAGGTAACGCATTCCAGTGTTTCACCACCCTCCCAGTGAAAAAGTTTCTCCTAATATCCAACCTAAACCTTCCCCACTGCAACTTGAGACCATTACTCCTTGTTCTGTCATCTGCTACCACTGAGAACAGTCTAGATCCATCCTCTTTGGAACCCCCTTTCAGGTAGTTGAAAGTAGCTATCAAATCCCCCCTCATTCTTCTCTTCTCAAGAGAGAATGCCCTTGCTGGGATGGGGGACAGAAGCCTTTCACAAAGAGCGGGAAAGAGCAAGAACCCAAGAGAGTCCCACCTGTGAGGCAAACAGGGAGGGAACAGGCGTGCTGGGCCTGTGGGTGACAGGGGCACCTGTGGCGGGAGCGCCCTGACCTGAGTTGTAAAGTTAAGGCTAGCCCTGGGAACGGGGCTGAGCAAGGCAAAGACTATGGGAGGCCCATAGCCAAATGGAAGTGAAGGGTTTCCTGTCAGTGCCATGAGGAGGGCCGTATCAGAAGACATTACCTCCTTAGGAGAAAGCAGGATAGAAAAGGGCTGCCCAGAAACCAGACTAGGTCAGGGACTGCCCCAAGGTATGTGGTAGTGATGACAAGGTATGGAGCCATTTCCCGCACTCAGACTGAACATACAAAAGGGATTGCTCCAAGTAGAGCTGAGCTGCAGCTCTAAGACTGCTCCTGCTTGCACCAGGGGCTGAACTGGACTCAGAGGGGCTAGGAGTGGGAAGGCATACTGCCCTGAGTAGCTGAGGCCGTTCGGGTCAGACCAGAGGAATGTGTCCATTGATGTCAGCAGAGTTACTCTAGAATGACCTGGGTGCTGACAAGATCAGAATCTGGCCCCTCGTCCAATGAGATTGCATGGGCAAGTCCTAGAGAACTGAATGGAAGGGCTCACCTGTCTCCAGACTTTGGGAACCAGCCTACAGAATGCAGGAGAGAAGTCTGTGCTGCTATAGAGTGCTACAGAACCAGGACCAGGTACTCAAGTAACCTCTCTAGGTGTAGAGAGTTGTTTCTATAGGTTGATTTCTTCCTTATTAAATTCTACTGGACATTGTAGTAAGGCAGAGCAGCCTCCCACTGAGCCAAAGGGACCACTCTGTGAACCCTGGTGAGTGAAGCCAGGTCAGACTTGCCCCTCCCACTGGAAGTCAGAGGGATGAACAGGAAGTATAAAGGGTGGGTTCTGGTGCTCATAGAATATCAGGGTTGGAAGGGACCTCAGGAGATCATCTAGTCCAATCCCCTGCGCAAAGCAGGACCAATCCCCAATTTTTGCCCCAGATTCCTAAATGGCCCCCTCAAGGATTGAACTCACAACCCTGGGTTTAGCAGGCCAATGCTCAAACCACTGAACTATCCCTCCCACACTGAGCTATCCCTCCCCTCAGTTGTGCTGCAGCTGCTGAAGGAGACAGACACCTCCTGACCACTCCCGAGCTGGGAGTCTGCAGCGGATCCCCACTGAGCTGAGGACTGGCCAGAGCTGCTGGAGCCACCTGCTGACCCAGGTACCGAGGAGCCACTGGGACTGCCACTGGCCTTCTACCCAGATGAATGAGAGGACCCCCTACGGATTCAGGTACCCCCTGAGGGGAGGAGAGGAAGTGGCCCAGGGGCAGCCGACTCTAGTCTGGCTCCATTGCTGCCAGAGACCCAGTCAGCATATTGCAGCTGGATACCCCACTGACCCAGTGGTGGAAAACTCTGCCACTGTTAGGGCCCTGGGCTGGGAGGCAGTGGGGTTGGGTGGGCCTGCGTCACCCTACTCCTGCCACTTCACCCCTGGAGTGGCAGTTCCCCCTCTCTAGGCCAAGGAGCCTGCGAATGTCAGTCATCCACCAGAGCTAGGATGCCTGACCCTCTTGCTGCTTGGCCCTGAATACAGGCCTGAGCCATAGACTCTTGGCTGCCCTGCCCTGCCAAAGGACTTGGACTCGCAGCTGTTTGCTCCTTTGCCCGGATTGCAGGCTAGAGACCCTAACCCACTACCCCTCTGCCTGGACTGCTTGCCAGAGCCACAGGCTGGGTTGCCCAGCTAAATCCCTAACTGTACTGACCCAGAGGAGGAGGGACCACCGCTAATCCACTACAGACATGTCTAAACCTATCAATATCTTCCCATTTAGGGCAGAGATGTAGGCCACCGACTTTATCACAGCCTATCCAAGGGCCTGATCCAGTGCCCAGTCAAAGCCTTCCAGAGAGTTCAGTTGGTTTCGGATCAGGCTCAAATTGTGACCCAAATATCAGAACATTTCATACTTCGTTCTCTGGGTACAAGCTAAACCAAACACCATCTTTGGTCCACTAATCTATTGAGTATGAGAATGCCAGCTAGCTTCTGTATAAGACTTAACACAACAGGAAATCCTACCTCATTTATTGTTTCATTACATAGCACACAGTGGATCTACCAAGTGCAAGACAATGGGCTGTGTTCCCCATATTGGGTCTCCTGTTTTTAATCACTCAATTACGAGTACAACAAAGCTGGTGTATCTATCAATGTAGCTCATATCCCATGGAGATCTATTGTATCTGGAAGTTAACATAACTAACAATCAAGTTGTGATGTGAAAATGTCTTGAAGATATTGTAATATTTACTGTATGCCTGAGAGCTTTGAGATATAGTATTTAAAAATGCTATATAAGAGCTAGGTATTATTATCAATGATTCCATCTGGTGGGTTGGGGCAGAGTTAAGGCTGTTTTTGAGTCTTTAGATGGAGAATGCTAATGGAATTAGATATTCCTAAGTATCTCTAGCTGGAAATTATCAATGATTCCATCTGGTGGGTTGGGGCAGAGTTAAGGCTGTTTTTGAGGCTTTAGATGGAGAATGCTAATGGAATTAGATATTCCTAAGTATCTCTGGCTGGAAATCCCCAAGCATTTCCAGCTTTAAGCATAATGTTCCTTTCCAGTTGTTCTGTGTCAGTGAGGAATAATTTTAGCTCACCAGGGAGCTTTTTTCAATTTGGCGGTCTCGGTGGTCTAGAGATATAGAAGGACATAGAACAAAAATAAACCCTAATTGTTACAAATCTTGCCATATAAAAATAGCACTGAGGAGCACAGTGGGGTTCTGAATGGTGCGTTTGAAAAGAATTTGCTCATGTTTTCCTCTCTGCGTCAGCTCTGTAAAATAATGACTCAGCATAGTGTCCCTCAGTCCCACCTCTGGCCCTCACATCTCCAGAGCTGCTCATTAATCTCTGCGAAGTGCCATGGGCCCGCATACTTATTGCTCCCACTAACAAAAATATTCTCTCTGTCCCCCATCCATTATTTGTTCACAAACTCATCTAATGTATACAAATCCAGGACAAAAGAATGGTCTCTGCCCCACAGCACTTACAATCTAATAAGAAGCTATATCCCCTCCACAGTATCAACTGTATGTTCCCTAGTCAGTACAATACACATCTTAGCAGCCTCTTGAGAAAGGCAAGGATTTATTGTGCTTGGAAAGTACCTGTGTTAATTGCATTTTGTATCCACCACAATATCACTGGAGAAATATGGATTTGATTTTTTTATCTCCCTCTTTGTGATGATGAAATGAGCTGTGTGACAGCTGCTGATTTATTCTGAGGTGAATGAGGGACTGTTCCGAAATGAATTTGTTAGTATTAATTATGTTCCATCCCTGCTGACATTTTTAACAAGATTATTCCTTCCAAGTGGGGTTCTTCGCTTATGCTTTTTTTTTTTTTTTTTTAATTTCAAAGCACGTTGTGGGTTTATTTGTTTTGTTTAATGAAGTTGGTAGAGAAGAGTGAACTGGGTTTCTGTCTCTGACAAGTTATAGCAGAACCAGGGAGTGCTGTGGTTCCATCAAGGCTGATATATGAGCAGGTGTGGGACTGCCTGGGAAATCTGTCGTCTTCATGACTGAAATCTGACCTTTGTGCATTCATTTGAAGTGCTCATAAAAGTGACAGACTGCACGAGCTTTACGCAGCACTCTCTTGCAATCTGGCCCTTCCACCCTAACTCCACCAGTGTGTCTTAGGGTACGTCTACACTGCAGACAGAGCCCCAGGGCCGGGAGTGTCAGAGCCTGGATCAGTTGACTTGGGCTCGTCTACAGGGCCAAAAATAGCAGTGTGGACATTTGGGATCAGGCTGTCACCAGGGCTCTGAAACCTGGCTAGGGGCACGGATCTCAGTGTGTTGGCTCCAGACTGAGCCTCAGCCTCTCCTGTGCTACTTTTAGCCCCATAACGTAAGTCCCGTGAACCAGAGTCAGTTGAGCCAAGCTCTGAGACTCAGTGCCGCAGGTCTTTTTTGCAGTGTAACCATACCCTTTCTCCAGATTTGCAGCTCATCTATTATCCCAGCTCTGCCCTCTCCCCACCCGCTCTGCCAAGGCACCCCAATCCTGATCCCCTCTTTCGTGCCTGGCCCCCACTTAACTCTGCCAGTATAGCTCATGCCTAATCTGAAACACTGCCTGCCACTCCAGTTTGTGGCCCTCATATCCCTCTGCTAATGTATATCAATCCTGATCCATTGCAGACACTGCTACTCCAGTCTTGCACTTCAGTCCTGACCTGCATTCCCCTGCTGTTCCAGGCTTGAGTCCTCCATCCCACAAACTCTGACCATGCATCTCAGTTCTGCTTTGCAAGAACCATACTCTTCCCATTCTGGGACACACACCAAACTTTACAAAGTATCTCAGCCCAGAACTGCTTCCATGTTTGCCTGTGCATGGTACTGATCCAGCAAATCAACAGATTGGTAGAGGGGATAGTGAGCTGTAAGGCTAGCTCCTTTGAGTTCCATGTAGATCTGGTCAGCAGTAATGGAGAAGCAATCTCTCCAAGACATCCATCAGAGGGTGACATAGGTACAAGCAAGAATAGCTACTAGGCAGCAGTGGCACACAACACATGCAGTCACTTATGATGGCTGCTTGCTTGTGGCTTGACTGTGGCAATCAAGTCACTATTGCTGTTGTGTGCAGCAACATTCAGATACGTTTTCTTCTTCAAGTGGATTGTGTTCTGTCTTGTGCACCATTGAGAAAACTCCCAGTCCAGTGCTGATTCCAGCTTCAGTAGTGCTGGAGGTGATCCCCACATGGAAAGCACAGACCTGCATTCTTAGCTAATGTGCCAGTGCCAATCATCAGTTCTTGCCTCCGCCCTGCAGGCATGTGTGGCTCACACATCTACAAAGCTGGAGTTTTGTTTCCTGAGTAGTGCATCTTTAAATGTCTAACAGCTCTCTTGGCCTGTCTCTGGCCTGTGCCCAGAGCTTTTGTAGCCTGTGATGAAGAGAGGACATACACACACACACACACACACTGTATGCTCTCTTGTTGGGGACTTTACTTTTATTCTTTCTTAACCTAAATGCGGGAGATAGCTTCAGAGCCCTGGTATCATATGGGTGTGATGGTTTCCCTGGGGTGCAACCTGAAACTGGGGTACGCTGAGTCCTCTGGATTACCAACCAGGGTACCCTCTCACACTGTGATGCTGTGACAAGCTGCAAACCTCTCCAGGTATTGCAGTTACACAAACATCCACAGGCAGGGACACACCCAACTGAGTTACATGAATGCTTTTGCCAGCCACTCATGAGCCGACAATAGAGAGGCTCCAGCCAATTCCCTTCAGCTCCCCAGCCTTGCACCCCAGAGCTACACCATCTTGCCCTGGTCAGAAATCTGACCAGTGTAAGTTTATAACCCAGTCCACCACTTCCACAAAAGAAAGTGGACATGCACCAGCCCTTGCAACCTGAGCAGATTTTCCAAGCACTTCAACCAAAACACACTGTTTATTAGCTACAGAAAGATAGATTGTAAGTGATTATAAGTAATAAGCATACAGATCAAAGTTGGTTACCTAAGAAATAAAAGTAAAATCGCAATCTGAATTCTATAAACTAGACAGGATTTGAATCAAGGAGTGTCTCACCCTGATAGATAGTACAAGCAGGTTACAGATCTTTCACACGCAGGCTGGAACTCTCCTTCAGCCTGGGACCACCTGTCAAAACCCAATGAGGTGATATATTCTATGTGAGACCCAACTCTGAAAGATATAGGAGTGTGGACAAATAGTGGTAGCACTTGTGTAGGAAATATTTAAAGGGAAGCAATCCAAAGATGATACTTTGTTCAAAAGATTACTTCTTTGAAACAGATCTTGCTCTGTTAAACCAAGCTCTGAAGCAAATAGGAGTTTGGGCAGTGTAGTATTTCTTGTGAGTGATAGTGTGGTGATTTCACAATTTTGAAAGAAATGTTTAAGGAAAGGGACCAGGAGGGGTGGTGGCTAATTAAGGAGCCCACCCTCCTTGCTAAATGGGTAGTGGAACAAAGCTTGTGTCCATGAAAAGGGACTGTTCGGTGAGGAAAACAGGATTGGGCCAAGACAAGCAGGCAGGCAACAGATAAAGAAATTGGAAAACAGGTTGGAAGCCCTGAGGGCATAGTGGCAGGAGTAAGGAAAGGAGTAAGTGCAAACATGGGTAATTTAGATCCCTGAAAAAGTATTTGGAATGGTGAAATCTGAGTTGATTAAGGTGTCATTTTGGAAGATAAGCAAGAGATTTAAGGAGAGAGTGAGAAGTTAACTCTGCAGAGGCTGGAGGGAATTAAGCAGTTAAACGTTGTAAAAGTGTTAAAAAGGAAAAGTGTTATAAAAAAGAAAATTCTTGGTTTCTTTGCAGCCATTCTGAAGGAAAAATGGGCCCTTTTCCAAAGGAATGTCTGTAAATAATCCAGGCAAAGAGACTATCTAATTGAAATCATTTGACTACGGACAATTTAGACAAATTTGCTAAAAGAATATAAGGGGGTCCTATTGGAAATTAACTCCCCCAAATGTATAAAAGGAATGTAATCTATATACAGCTATGTAAAAACAGAGCAGGGTAAAGGAAATGTGCAGTGTATATTGTAGAAGGGGTAAAAGAAATGCAAACATACCATACTACTTAATTAAAATCCTATTAGGGCTCCAAAGTGAGCCACAATAGGTTGTTTTCTTTTTCAGATTTTTGTATGTTTTAAAAGCAGGAGTTGAAAATGAAAAGTAATCAAAACTCTGGTGAAAATTGATTGTGTTCCTTTTAAAACAGAGTCTCTGAGCTGCTAATGGCTTTGGATCCAAAGGCAAACCAGAAAGCATCTGTGTTAATGCAAATTGCCTAACTGATAAAGGTAGAAGACATTGAAACCTGGCCTGCCTATAGAACAAACACAGGAAAATATGGGGGTAATTTCTCTGTTTTGCCTGCAATCAGCAAGGGTATTTGTAAAAGAAAGGAATATTTTAAGAAATAATTTGTCACCCCCAAAGGGGTAGAAACATGTTATTTTTGTCTTTCACAAAATCAGGAAAAGCTGACACCAGCTGAAGAGCAACCCAAAATTCCATGAATCTACTGTTACAATAGAAATTGTGTTCTGTGTTCTATGTTTTGTCTTGTGTTGTTTGTCTTGTTGCTAGCACTGTTGTGTACTAAAAAAAAAAACTGCAGGGAAACATCCTCAGGTAGTAGGCACCATATTAGGGGGAATTGGTTTTGGAGCAGGGGTTATAAATACAGTAAACCTGGAGGTAATTAAAAATAAATTAAGCTCTCTGTCCCAGCTACAGGACAGCCTAATACAGAAACAAATGGAAATGAAAAACCATACTGCTATAGCTATGGGATGTAGTGAAATGCAGATAGTTGCTTTGTCCACCTTGGAACACAAAATGTTTTGGGTAATATCAGGAAACACTAAGGTTTTAATACACTTGCTAAAGCAAAGCAAAAGATCACTGTTTGATACTTATCAATACGAATGGATGCAGTAGGTTTCTAGCATAGTAAGGCCAGGCCTTTTAATTGGGGAAATTGTTGTTAAAAACTCACACCAACAAGCTCCGGAAGCAAAGATATGAAAGGTTATCCCACTCCTCATATGGCACATGGAATCCTTCTGGCTACCCCAGACCTCGAGCCAGTGGGATATTGGACACCAGAGGTTGTACCGAGTGGACTCCTCAAAATTGGATGTGCTTGTCCTTGCCTGTTGCTCCAGAGCCCTGTATAATGGGCAATGTGTATGTGTTAATTCCTGGAAAGAAGTGTTTTGGGAGAATGGAAGTGTTAGCAACCCGCTAGTAAACAAATGTAATGTAAGTACTGTGTTTACCAATAATCACATTTACTGTTTGCCACAACCAGAAAAGTCTCAGCTTTGCCCAGTGGAGGGAGGAGCTATGTAAAAACCTGCGAAGCCATAAAGGCCGCTTTAGATAAGGAAAAGGCCAAGCGTAAGGGGATCGTCATTAAAGACATCCGAGGATGGCAAATTGGAGACAAGGCAATGTTGCAAAAGCTGGGGAAGGTGACCCACACTCTGGACGCCAAGTGGGTGGGTCCATACTCCATTGTGAATCGCATCTCCCCGGTAGTGTACCAGCTTCATATCCAGTAAACTAAAATGGGTACATGCCAATCAACTCAAAACATGTTTCACCCTAGGTTTCTGGTCATGGTGTCATGGGCCTCAGTTGTGGACCAGCCACCTGCCTGGACCATCTGCGTCTCCATCTGTCCATGGGATTATTTGAATGATTATAATTATGAGGAGGGAAAATACCTCAAGAAGCTCTCCATGGTTCGAGCTAATGATGGGGCCCAAGCCACAATGTGGCACAAGGCTGAAGGGGAAGAGCCATGGGGGCAATGCATGGTCCAGATGGACACCGTAGGGCCACAGCAAAATACCTGGTGGGTGGCCCCAGACTTTCCATGTGTCACACCCCAAGGTGCCCCTCCTTCAGCGAGTTCCCGGGGCGGGCAGATCAGCATTGTATGTGGCTAACACTGTTGCAAGCATCACAAAGCATGCTGGGAAGGGGTAATGGTATGAGTGAGGAGTGAAAGTTTCCTTTGTAGGTTACAAAAGGCCAAGAAGGGGGGAAGAAGAAGAAAAGAGCAGAGAATGAGTTAACTCAACCCTGGAGCTAGCTCAGTGTGAAGATAAAACGCTGGCCCCAACCCAAGGACACTGCTCAAAGCCAAAACTTGGCTAACAGCTGAGAAAGACAGGGGCTTTAATGTGCCCGAGCAGCCGTGAGAAAGAAAAATCCAACTGCACAGACCTGCAAGACAGCAAGGCCAGCAAAGAAGAGAACAAGGTCCAAGACTGCAGAGATGGAAAACACCAGCAAGACAATGACGGGGAGAGCAGAGCATCGCGTCCCTGGAGCTGTTTATGTTTTGGGAAAGTGGAGAAGACCACATCAAGCCCGTTTGGACTGGCACAAAGAGCACCAGGAACAGAGGTCACGGAACAGAACACCCCAAAGGAGCCCAGGACTTAAAACCCTCCTGAGACCTGCAGCAATTTGGAGATCACAGCAGACCCTGGATGACCTGTGCGCACAGGACAGAACTCCCATCCCCCCTTCTTCTTCTTACGTTACACTCAGGCCTGGCCAGCCTCAGATACTGACTGTGTGAGTATGAAAGTGGGTTAGGGCTTGGGGCACTAACGCTTTCTTCCTTCCTCTGAGTGATGTAGGGAGCACCCATCACGCTCCACTGTTATTTTATTATTTTATCAATAAAGCTTTAAAATTTAGAGACTTAATGTGTTTCGTCATCTCCTCCCCAAATGATCCTGTGGCTTCAGCCTGATCACCTGACACCTCAGGCAGATTGGTAGCAGAAATCTGTCACAGTTTTGATGGAGAATTTCGGCAGGGGGGAACCCTGCAGAGTGCACCAACTGCTCTGCCCTTGATATTTCATGTTTGCTCAGCCCAGCACTGTTGGTGTTTCATGCTGAGGATTTTATGATTAAAGGTGTGTCCACCCTCAGCTGTAGTATGCCTGAGAACCGGGCACCGGGGGAAGGGTGCAAGTGGGTACACCCCAGCTGTAGAAGTCCCACGTGTTAGAAGGGAGGAGAATATAGAGATTCTCGCTCCAAGGAAATAATCCTCGGTTCATACGCCCTCAGCCATAGTGTGCCTGAGTATAAGAGGAGAATGTAAGGTGTCTCGCTGTGCCCGGGAATGGTTTTGGCATATGGATCCTCAGTAATTTTGGACCGAGTAATACGGAGGGAGACTTAGCATCTCTCCCTCCGGCCCAAGTGTGAGGGAGAACATTATAAGCCCTGGTGCCGAGGTGAGCAACGTGAAATCTCAAGTGATCAGCAGATCTTAGGAGTTGTCCCAATGGATTATGTCAGTATGTTCAGGAAACAGAAGGGTACAGCTGTGGACTCAGGAGTCCCGCAGTCGTGGGCGATGGCATCAGCGATGGATTCAAGCCTGGACATACGGGCATTAGGGAGCGCGGACACAATAATCTGGCTGCCCAGTCAGCCTGGTGTCATGGGAGGCAGGTGAACCTGATGCCCGAGCCACAGGAGAGGCAGCAAAGAGGGATGGGACCCTGCTGCCTCTTTCAAAGGGGGGTAAAGACCTCTCCCGGCAAGGTGGGATACAATCCCTGGGGTACCATGACGGAGCTTCAGAGAAGTGTGCATTCTTGGCAGGATTTGTTGGACCTATATACTGAGTATGAAGAGCAGAAGAGTAAAAACCTAGGGGCAGTTGTGGAATTAATTTGGACTGCAGCAGCCATGTGGTATCAAATGTTGTTGGGACAGAAAGAGGAGTTGGGAAAAAGGGAAGAGGTGTGTACCCGACAGGTGGAAATTGAGCAACTGAAAGTGCAAATTACTAACCAGGCAGCAACCCAGGCCTATGCCCAGGACAAGTTGACAGCCTTGAGACTGGACTTCCAGGCAGAGAAGGCGGATCGCACCCGCCTGGAAGCGCTGGCTAAGCAGGTACCAGTCCTTCAGGGACTCATCAAAGATTTGACTATCCGTTCCCATGATACACCACAACGACAGTGTGCTAGTCATGAAAAGAAGATTGAGCAATTAAAACACCAATTGGTCGTGCATTCAGTCCAGGTGGCAAGCTTCATGGGGGATGATTCGGGTGACCCTTGCGAGGGCTTTGATTTTTCCCTTTGTGAGGATTCCCAAGGGTGGGCAGACCCTTGCTGTGCCCCCGTAGCAGCCCTCATCAAGACCAAGGAGAGGTTCACTGAACAACTTCAGGAGGGGGCTTCGGTCCAAACTCAGTGTGTAACAGCCAGAATTCAGAGTCCGCTGGGCATGGCGGACATCTCCATGCTGGCTCGCAAGCTGGGCCCCTTTAAAATGAAAAAGGCCACTACCTGGCTCCTTTCCCTCTGAAACATCATACATATAAATAATTTGTCCCAGCAGGAAATTGAGTGGATGCTCACCGCTGCCAGCTCGGAGCTGGCCACCACCATGAAAACCGCGGTGGCTGACTTGCAGGAAGAGGGGTTGCTTATTGTTCAAGTGGTAGCGGACGTCCTTCTCTCTGCCAGGGAGAAACGAAAGCATTTATCCAATTTAGATCAGGCCACGGTGCAAACCGCGTTAGACTATTTTTATCAACAGAGTTTGATTACAGTGGTCCTGGAGCAGGTTCGACCAGAGAATGAGAGGCAGTGCCTTTTGGGCCTGCTTCCATGGACAGTCGCTCAGTTACAGGAGCTGACGGAAGGGATGAACAATTGGTGGAGGGATAAATTAGGGCTCTGGGCTGAGGATGAACCCACTAATTGGGAAGAATTAAGGGGTAAAATCATGCAAATTGCTAAGCATTTTGGGGAGCCAATTAAAAGGGTAAAAGTGGCTGCCCTCCAGGCCAGCCCAAAACTGGGAGGCACCCCCACATACACCAACTGGGTACCGGCGGAAGGCGGGAAAGAGCCAGTTGTGGGCCGGTCGGACCGGCGCTCCTGGGAAGGCCAGTTGTTACCGGACACTAAAGAGGATTTGGAAAGGACCAAGATGGAGGTTCGGAAGCAAACTTGGCATAACCTCTGGGCTTTGTGGGAGATATGCAGCGGTGGGATAGAAAACCCACAGTCCTGTTGGTGGAATGGCTATTGGCCCTCTCCGCCTGGCAGGGGGGAACGAACTACCAGCATTCGCAAAAGCCAGGCTCACAAGACGGGTGAGTGGCTGCCCCCACCTGCACCCGTGGCAGCTGCCACTCCATCTGCCCCTCCGGTGGAAGATCACTGCCAGTACCACACTGAATCTTCATGGACTGGGGACCAAGGGAAGGGCTCGGCCTAGGGTGGCCCCATTGTTGGCCAGGGGTCCCACTGGCAGTATCGGGGTAAAGTAACCTGGGACTCTAACCACCACCCCAGAATCGCTATTGTAGTCACGCAGTGCCCATGCTTGGCCCTGTTGGACACCGGGGCGGGTATAAATGTGTTAAATTTCACCCCCGTTGAGATTTTTCATGAAGTTGATAGATTTCCACTCCATATGACTAAATTCAGTGCCTTGCATAATGACAGGTTTCAGAGTAGCAGCCGTGTTAGTCTGTAGTCGCAAAAAGAACAGGAGTACTTGTGGCACCTTAGAGACTAACAAATTTATTTGAGCATAAGCTTTCGTGAGCTACAGCTCACTTCATCATTGAGAGCGACCCAGGGATCCCCACCCAGGTCTCAGGGTTTAATTCGGGGCCGCAATAGCTACCGACCTGGGATCAGGTCCCAGTTACTATTGTAGGAGCTGTTTTTTTGCCTCTTTTACCATTGGCCCCTCCTCTATGGAGACAGTGATTCTGGGAATGCCATGGATGTTAGAAAAGGGGCTGTGGTTCAATCTGTATGATCAAGAGGGCACGCTATGGCAGGAGAAGCACATGCCTCTGCCTCGGGACGAGGGGGGTAGGTTTGTCACCGCTGCCATGGCGGTGTTAATGGCAGAGGAGGAGGCATATTGGAGACAGGCGGTACGTGGAGTTTGGCAAATGTATCCCTCTGAGTGTGGTAGGCATAAAACAGCACTGGTGGAGATGGTGGGGTCCTCGGGTCCCCCACAATGGCAATATCCTTATTCCAAAGCAGCGGAGGAGGGTATAGTGGGGGTAATTGCCAATTTGTAAAGACAAAGGGCACTCCGAACAACCCATAGTCCCTTTAATAGTCTGGTCTTTCTGGTATTAAAGGCAGGAGGGCAGGCTCACCATAGATTACCGAAAAATAAACCGGAACACCCCTGTGATGGCGCCAGTGGTCGCCTCAGTGCCCGAGGTCTTACTCCATGTGCAGCCACAAGACAAATGGTTTTCGGTTATTGATCTAGCTAACTGCTTCTTTGCTTTGCCCCTTACCCCTGCTTCTCAGGACTGCTTTGCCTTTCAGTTTAGGGGAAAACAGTTCACTTTCACGCGGGTCCCCATGGGCTTCCACAACACCCCCTCCATTGCCCACCAACATGTGGTGGCTATGCTGGAAGAATTGCCCCCGGAGGTCTGTTGCCATATCATTTCGTACGTGGATGCTTTGTTAGTGCATGGGAAAACGAAACATCTGGTATGACACCATACTGTCATGGTTCTAAAGAAGATTTAGGAAACTGGATTCAAGGTGTCCTTAAAAAAGGTGCAATTGGTCCAGCAGTCACTCATCTATTCGGGCATCACCATGGGAGAAAGGGGCAGACTAGTAGATGTGACAAAGGTCTGCACATTGTGTGAGATGAAAAAACCCACCAACTTAAAACAACTGCACACTATTTTCAGGGGCTTTAACTTTATTCGGAACCATATTCCCAGTTTTGCCACTCTTACTCGCCCCTTGTGGGCACTACTCAAAAAGAGAGCCTGGTTGCACAGGGGGAAACCACAAGAAACCACCTTTGACACCTTGAAGCGAGCTGCTGTGCAAGTGCCTCCCAGACACTGCCAAGCCTTTCTACCTTTGACTGTCATGTGGTCCAGAGGCACTAGGTGCCATCCTCCTCCAAAAATATACTGAGGGCCGGCTGATCCCAGTTGCTTATGGTTCCAGAGCACTGCAACAGCTAGAAATCAAATACAGCCCTTGTGAGAAAGAATGCTTGGTGGCGGTGTGGGTGATATAGACCTTCCAGGCATACACTGAAGGAGCACAAATAACACTGCAAACCCTGCATACACCCCTAAAATACATTCTAACAGGGTCCAAAATGAGCTCAGTCTCCAACACCCACCTCGCACAGTGGACCCTGTTCCTCACCGAAAGGGGGGTGGCATCAGAGACTCTGCAGTCCCCGGACCTGCTCAGTGCAGCCCTGGTGGACCAAGGCGCTGAGCATTCCTCGGAGGTGGCAGAGCGCGAACAAACAGCGGCCCAAGAATGGGACCCCCTCTCTATCCTCCAGGACCAAACCCAGATTAACCACTTGTGGTTTACAGATGGATCCTGCTTTCTCCACCAAGGAAATTGGTATGTCCAATGGGCAGCCTTGAATCGGGGAGAGGTGAGCCTAACCGGGAACCTAGCGCATGGTTCAGCACAAGATGCTGAGACAGAGGCAGTGCTCCAGGTTCTGAAAGATGAAAGTCAGCTGTGGGAGGACTTTGCAGTATATCTAGTAGCAGACAATAAGTATGTGGTATGAGGGGTATACAAGTTCTTTTGGGAAAAGAACAATTGGAACACTGAGGACTGGAAGCCCATTAGACATCAAGAGAAGTGGCAGGAGATAATGGCATTGCATAGAGCTGCAAGGGGGAA